GGGGAAGAAAGCGATGTGAAGTCACACACACACATGCATTCACGCACACACATGCACACACACACACGCAAACACACACTCACAAGCGCACGCAAAGGAGGAGCGCGGGCACCGCGGCGTGAAAATAAAAACGCCTCGGGCATGGCCGGACAGGGGGGCAGGCTCTACTAGAGCCATCGCCAAGATTAATGGGAAAGAGAGAGAGGCTGCGAAATGGGGCGGAATAACGAGGAAACGACGAAAACGGCTCAACTGGCAGCGGGAGCGGCGGGAGCGGCGGGCAGCTGGAGACCGGGATGGCGCGGTGCGGCGGCGCGGCGGGTCGCGGTCACCGCGGTGCGCGGGCAGGGCGAGGCGCTCGCCGGTCGCGGCCGATGCCGACCGAATCGAAAACCGAACTGAACTGAACTGAAGAAGAACGAAGAACAAGAACCCGACCCGGTCTCGACGCGAGTCGAGTCAGCCGTCGAGCTCCCCCCGACTGGGCCCGGCCCGGCGGCGGCGGCCCGGCGACGCGAGGCCACAGCGCGGGGCCCCCACCCTGCCCCTCCCCCTGCCCGGCTGGGCCCACGTAAGGCCCACGACGGAGCGAGCGGCCTGCCGTCTGGCGGCGCGCGGAGCAACTAACGCCCCGACCGGCGCGCCCCACTATAAGTAAGGTTCGGCCGCCGCGCCCCGCCGCGCCCCGCCGCGCCCTGCTGCCCCTACGAGACTGCCCCTGCGCGACGCCCCTGCGGCCTGCGCCCCTGCCGACGGCCCGGCCCTTGGGCCCTTCGGCCCCTGCGCGCGGCGACAGCGCGTCGTCGTGCTCTGCTTTGCGTTCGGCCAGCGGCGTGGCGTGAGGCGGGGTGCCGGGGGCACTCTAGGGCTCTACGAGCACCCCGAGAGCTCCTGTCGAGATAACGGCCTGCAAGGGGTGCGTGCCTGCGGGTGCCCGCGAGTCCCGTCGCCAATGTCTCTGCCGACTCGCCTCCTTCCGCGCACGTCACGCGGTGGCGCCACGGCCGCACGGTCAGCGCCACGCGCCTCCACTGCAAGAAGTCAGTCGTCGCTATCTCGAGTGTCCGCGAGCAAATGGCCCCGTCGTGGTGGACGCGGCGGCGCGGGTCGGGCCCTCGGGGGTGGCGGCGACTTGGTGGAAAACTTTGCTTACGTGCCAATAGGCCCAATTGGCCAATCAGGACGTTTCGGCCCTGGCGTCCCCGTGGTCCACATGACCCTCTGCTGTGAAGTTTGTGGCAGCCGCGGAAGCCGACCCGCGATATGAACATGGCGGTGGCAGTGGACAGGAGTAGGCACTGAACCCCATTGAGCGCCTGCCGAGCGCAGGGTAGGCCACCCAACGGCCACCCAACTGCACTCCAGGCTAGGGAGCTCCTGACTTGAACTTGAGAGGCTAGACCGCATATGATCTCATGCCGTTTCGGCCCCGGTAACTGCCACGAAAAGGCTCCAGGTCCGCGAAGGGAGGATCGGCCCTGGGGGTTGGCTTGTCCGTATCGGCGGGGTGAGTGCGGGTCATGCAAGGCGCCAGGGCGCAAGGCCAGCCGCGGACGGCGTGGCGGCGTGGCGGCGAGGGCGGGTTGCCGATTGCCCGCGTTACTGCCGTGGTGGCCGCGGTGGCGGTGGCGGCGGCTGCTTTATTGAGAGCTCTGCCGCCAGGCCGCCGGGGTCCCTCCTGATAATCGTCCAACGGGGCGTAATCAAAACGGAGCCGAGCGAGCAGCCGCGCTGCGCCGCGCTGCCGCGATCGAGAAAATAAACTGATAAGCGGCCGTCTTGGCGTCTGCGTCTCGGTGTTATCGAGGGTCAACTCGGTTGCTTCGGGCCTCGGGCGCCTCGCCGGCCGGCCAGTCAGGCCAGCCGCCGCCAGCACTGTCCGTCTCGTTCCGAACGTTCCGAACAGTGTCGCTGTCTCCCTCGCACTCCTCCGGGTTACCTACCGGTTCGCACGAGTGCGGGTGAGACAGAGGGTCGAAACCATGCTAGCACCGTCGCTTGGCTGCAGCTGCAGCTGGCCGCGCCGCCGGTGGGGCTCTCCAATCTCGGCCGCGCCGCCGGTGGGGCTCTCCAATCTCGGCCGCGCCGTGTCGAACTTTGAAGAAGCGAGGACAAAAACGGAAATAACAAAGATGACATTTTATCTGGAGGCGATATGGCGGGGTGGGGTGGGAACTGGCGGGGCGGGGCGGGGCGGGGCGGGGCGAGGCAGCCAGGGCGTCCGTGTCACGTCCCCGCAAGTCACATGGTCCGGGCGTGTCCCCGGGCCCCAGGCCGGCCCCAAGCCCCAGGCCCCTGATGAAGCTCCCTTCCCTTCCCGGCTCGACCCCGCTCCACTCACCTCTGGGGTGATAACCGTCACCCCACGCGCTTATCGCGCCACTGGGACTGTCTCTGCAGCGGGGACGGGGGCCTCTTGGTCAATAGGAAGCACCAGCTAGGAGAGGAGACTACTTGGAGGAGGTCGCGGAGGAAGCCGACGAGGCTTTGCAGCGTTGCGACCGCAACGCACTCGCGTGCTGCGCTGCACACCGCAGTGTGCTCACTGCACTGCACTGCCACGCCGGTCGGCAGTCCGGTTCCAGGCGTTCCAGGTTCCAGGCGTTCCAGGTGCAGCCGGTGCAGTGAGGCAAGGGCAGGGTGGGCACGGGCACGGTATGTTGGCACTGTGCCCGTACCGCCACACCGCCAGACGGAGGCGAGCCTCCAAACGGGTAAAACTGGAACTCACGCTCGCGCTGGCCGCACCGCCCGGGCGCCCGCCGTCCGCCCCACCGGCTGCGGCACTGCGGTGCCTCCATTCGGCCGTCCGACTGTCCGGACTGTCCCTCCGGTCTCGCTGCGTGCTCCACCAAGTCCCCGCCGAAACCGAAAGATTCTGACGACGGTGAAGAATGTGTCCGCTGTTTCACTTTTGGCGCCGTGCTGAGGCAAATTGAACGGGGAGCAAACTTACCTCACGCACCGCGAGATAAGCGGCGCCAAGGAACTCCTGGACGCGGGCAGCGCGGGCAGCGCTATGGCAGCGCAGCGTGCGGCGTGACCGAGCCAAGCGTGACGCTTCGCCCGGCTTGGCTAGGCCGTGCCTGCCGTGCCTGCTTTGCCGTGCGAGGCACAAGGCGGACGCACTCCCAGCACCCGAGCGGCCTGTGTGACATTTGGATAGCAGCTGGGCTGGGCTGCGGGGCACCGCACTGGAAAGGGACTGGAAAGCACTGATAAACACTGGCAACCAACACTAGACCAATACCCGCGTGACCCCGACCCCGACCCCGGCCTAAGGCCCGGCCCCCCACCGAGCCAGGGCCGCGGGGCCGCGCGCGTGATCCAATCTCTCGAATACTAATGACGCGAGAAAATAAAAATTCTATGAGTTTGATTTTGTCGTCCAGGAAGGCGTCGGCCGTCCCTTTGTGAGGTGACGCTGGCGCCCCGCAGCGCGCCCTGCCGGCCTCGAACAACTGGAACAACTGGAAGAACTAGAACCACTGGAACTTCAAGCCCACCCGGAGGAGACCACCTCCTCCGTGGCACTGTCCGGGCTCCGAATGATGTTTCCATTGTGGTTTCAGTCCCGCCTGTCGCCGTGTCCTGCTAGCCCTGCCGCCCCGCCTCCCCCTCGCCCAGGAGGCCTTTCACATTTAATCAGCCCCCCCCCCCTCCGCTCCAGACTTCCTCGCCGGGGAATTTAAAGGCCGGTAGTAGGGGCGGCGTGTCCTAGCCGACACCTGCAGTCTCTATTGTAGTGTAGTGCACGCACCTGCAAGGCCCTGCAAGTGCCACCCTCTGTCTCTCTCTGTCTCCCGCTCGAGGCCGTCGAGGCCCGAGCTCTCTCACGAGTCCGTCGGCACGGCGTCGCAGCCGCCATCAGAACGCTTTTATCGTATTTTCGCCGTGCACCGGACTCCGTTTTTCGGACTGAAAAGCTGAAAATAGACGCGATAGCGCAATGCGACATGCGTCACCCCTGACGACACCGCACGCTCCGCGCCGGGCCGCTGCTGTGGAAGAAGAAGCGAGGCATTACATCGAAACGCGCGATAATAACTCGACAATGGCGTCGACATCGCATCGAGATGACCTCGCGGTGCCTCGCGGCCAACTACACTGTATCGCTCGTCGTCGCTCGGGGTCACCATGAGGGCAGCCACCACAACGCAACGCCACGCAGCAGGGCCAGCAGGGCCAGCCAAGCCAAGCCCGGCAGCCCAGCAAAGGTTGCACACGGTTCCGCTTCCTTGGCAACGGGCTCGTCTCCAAGCACCACGCCACGCTCCACCCCCTGGCCGCGCATGCCGCCCAAATTTCAAATTTCGCGGCTCGTTCGGTCCGCGGTCGTGGCGTCCTCTCTGGATGAACCCACCACTGACGTTCCCACCAACTATTTTCCGCTCGTTCGCTAACCTTTTCTGTCGTTGCCACGCTGCCACGTGGCCGGGGCTCCCGGAGTGCCGCCGGTAGGGCCAGGCCACTGCAGGGGCGCAAGCTAGCGCAAGCCAGCCACTGTAGGGTCGGGCCGGACCTAAGGCCGAGGGCCTGCTCGGACCACACCCTCGCCCTGTTGCCACGTGGACTCACGCCCTCGCGCCCCGTTAGCGGCCCGGTGCCACGCCGGCCACGCCCCTCCAAGGAGCAGGGGCTGCAGGGGGCTGCGAGGGGCGTAGGCAGCTTGCGCCCCGACAGGCCGACACCGTGCAGAACAACGGCCAATGGGACGCGGGTAGGCCACACCGCGAGGGCACATCCTCGACAGAACTGCGCTGCGCCCCGTCCGCATCGGCACCTCCTCTTTAGGGCCTTTAGGACTCTATCTGGCGCATACGTCTTGCAGCAATTTCTCATACGAGTGCATATGAAAAACTGCTGACTGCACAGACGCGTTGTGTTGTGTTTCAAATAGACTATTTCAGCGGAGCCGAGAAGAAGAACAAAAGGCGAGCGGGCCACTTCCGCTTGGGTCACAACAAACCATAGACAATCAACTATATCCATAGACCAACTGCTTCATGCCCAGGCTGGGATCCATGTGTTACGCCGCTCCCTGATTGGTCGGTACCTTTCACTTCACTCGTCATTGGTCGGCTGCTGTGGTCACCAAGCTGCCTCGGCAGCGAACGCCGCGTCCTGATTGGTCGAGGAGGCTCGAGCTCCACCAATCAGAACGCGGCGTTCGCTGGCGGAGGCAGCTTGGTGCAGTCGATGCCACACTTGTGGAACAGTTTATACCTTTTAAGTTGATGTTCAGCTGCTTTCAGTGGGTGAAAAAGAAGCTCACATAAATGAGGAATATCATCAAACGGCTCGATTTTTCAAATGAACTTTAATTTTAGAGCCTCAGAGGAAGTTTTACGGAGGAACACCGCTCGTGCCGCTCGTGCCGACAACTGATTGTGTTTCACTTGGTATTTATACCAACAAGCTTTGCTCAAAAACCAAGAGCCAGAAACATAGATTTGAACAGGCTGAATGCGATCAGCCCACTAAAATTGACATTTGTCGAGTTTTTAACCTTGAAATGTTGAAGTGAAAGGTACGGACCAATCAGGGAGCGGCGTAACACATGGATCCCAGCTGGGCATGAAGCAGTTGGTCTATGGGTATAGTTGATTGTCTATGAACAAACAGACAACAGAGGATTTAAACATCGCCGAAAATCTCTTTTTGAAAGTTACGCGGCGTTTTAAAGCTTACACATAATATTTGAGACTCATCCGAGTGAAAATAACATGTTATTGGAACCGCTGGTAGGTAGAAAACCAACGCGTCGTCTGTTTGTTGTGACCCAACCGGAAGTGACCCGCTCGCCTTTTGTTCTTCTTCTCGGCTCCGCTGAAATAGTCTATTCAAAATGGCAGCTGTGACGCCTGAAATGTGAAATTTGTTTTCGTTGTGCTGGCGATTTGTGGTGGCGTTGTGTTATGGCACGCAGTTATTGAAAACGATGAGACTGGAAGGGCTAGATAAACGTATGGAGCTCGTTTACCCCGAGTATGTCTTCCTTCCGAGTGACTGCAGCCTCGACCTTCACCACCCAGCAACAGGGCTAGGTGACTTTGCTATGGATTGTTGGGCAGTCAAAAGAGTGAGTAACTAGTGTCATGTCGAACATACACTGTATGTGTCTTTCTGGATGAGAAATGTTTTAATTGATTCGTCCATGGTTAAGAAACCTCCCAGGTCTAACACGCACCGGTGCCATTTTATACATCAATAGTTGTAAAAATAGCGGAGAAGCTTTGTTGACGTAAAATACATCTGAGCACTAGACTTGAAATGCTTGCTTCTTTAAAGTATAAAATAGAAACCTTGCATAAGTACATATTTAGTAAATATTAAAAAATTAAAGCCATTATGAGCATTCACGATTGTGGTTGCCGTCCTCGCTGTAGTTTGGAGTGAGCTTGCTAAGCACGCTTTAAAATAGAGCACTCTAATTTAAAGCGTGCCTGCCAAGCACGCTCCAAATTAAAGCGTGCTTCATGGCATGCTCCAAATAGAGCATGCCATGCACACATTTCAGTTTGCAGAGTAGTCGGAGAAATAGTGAACTACAATTCGCAAGGCAGAGATTCCGTTATTTGGTGGCAAGTCAGTCTCTTTTGTAGTCAGTTCCCTCGTTCATTTCGTTATCTTTCGATCAAGCACAAAATTCTTAGTGCCAAAATCGCAGAGCACTTTTGCTAATGCGAGCCGCTGCAACTGGCCGCGGCGCCGCTGCTCGTCTGCGATTTTGGCACAAAGAAAATATCTTTTGTGCTTGATCGAAAGATAACGAAATGAACGAGGGAACTGACTACAAACGAGACCGTCTTGCCACCAAATAACGTACAAAAACAGTGTTTTTCTGAGAGGTTAGCTAGGCTCACAACAGGCCGGCACCGGCTGGGGCGGTGGTGCGGGGCCGGGCCTCGCTACCGCACGGAGCGCCAGGGCCGTGTTGCTACCCTCTGGCCGAGCCAAGGACATGAACAAAAAGTGTGCAAAATCTCACCGAGATCGGCCGAGCCGTTCAGGAGGTGTAGTGCGGACACACACACACACACACACACACACACACACACACACACACACACACACACACACACACACACACACACACACACACACACACACACACACACACACACACACACACACACACAGAGGGACAGACAGACAGACAGGAAAAACTTATCAACCCCGTAACAGGCTTCGCTATCGCTCAGTCAATTAACGACGTTTAAAGAAAAATAATGTCAGAAATGTAATTTAATTTTATTCATTTTTAACAGTGTGTGTTTATAATTGCAGCTGGTCATCCCCGTCACCTTCCTCCGAAGGATGCTAATTGCCGCGGAGGATTCTGCCGCCCTGTTGCTCCAGGGGCTTCAGGGGATGGGTGCCCTCATGGTGACGGAAGAGATCGAGTTGGTCGACGTGACGGACCCAGGGGAGGGCCCATTGTCACGTCGACCACTACCCACCTTGGAGTCAAGACCGGAACCAGGATGCATTTGTCAAGGAATCCCACCAGGCAACCAGTAGCACATTTGTTATTACCTGCTTAACTATAATGCCATTCCAGGAAAGAAGCGGAAAGAAGTCCCCTCCCTTCAAATAATGAAAATATTGCAATGTTTGAGATTTGATCACCTATTGTTAAGTCATTTTGTTTTATTATTTTTATCTTGTGCTGAGCGTGTGCCCTAGCCATTTTGTATTACTAATGTTTTAAAGATAATTCCTGTATTACTCTGTTGAGTTTTATGAACTACTGCCTCCAAACGGTTTTGCTAAGCTTCCTCTTCCTAAATGTCAGAAATGTAATTTAATTTTATTCATTTTTAACAGTGTGTGTTTATAATTGCAGCTGGTCATCCCCGTCACCTTCCTCCGAAGGATGCTAATTGCCGCGGAGGATTCTGCCGCCCTGTTGCTCCAGGGGCTTCAGGGGATGGGTGCCCTCATGGTGTCGGAAGAGATCGAGTTGGTCGACGTGACGGACCCAGGGGAGGGCCCATTGTCACGTCGACCACTACCCACCTTGGAGTCAAGACCGGAACCAGGATGCATTTGTCACGGAATCCCACCAGGCAACCAGTAGCACATTTGTTATTACCTGCTTAACTATAATGCCATTCCAGGAAAGAAGTTCCCTCCCTTCAAATAATGAAAATATTGCAATGTTTGAGATTTGATCACCTATTGTTAAGTCATTTTGTTTTATTATTTTTATCTTGTGCTGAGCGTGTGCCCTAGCCATTTTGTATTACTAATGTTTTAAAGATAATTCCTGTATTACTCTGTTGAGTTTTATGAACTACTGCCTCCAAACGGTTTTGCTAAGCTTCCTCTTCCTAATGTTCTGGAATTATGGCTATTTTCTGTTAGCACCTCTGAGGTGACGTCAGTAAAATTCTTTCATGCAAAACGCCAACAAGTGTTTTTTATGATTAAAAATTTAAATGTATTGTGGTTAGAGAGCTTGAATCAGTACGAATTATTGTGCTGAAGCCTGTATAAAATTCTTAACATTTTTACCTCCTGTTACAAGACCATATAAATGAGGAAGAAAATGTATCTGGACAATCATTTTGTCTTTGCCTACCTTTCCAATGTTCACCGTTAACTGTAATATCCGAATCGTCTACTGTTCAAGAATGTTGGGAGTAATGTGTAAGAAAGTTCGAGACATAATTGTTATAATGAAGATTTTTTGGAATCAGAGAAATCAGAAAATCAGTTTTCTTGCCATTCGATCTCTCTATCATTTTGAATGATAGAAAAACTCTATCAAAACTCGGAGTTCGCAAGTCTGAAAATAAAAACAACTGAAGCGCCTGTTGACGTGAGGTTGGGCCAACCCGCATGGCAGACCTGCGTGCGGGTTGCCTGCCCAGCATCCTACATCCCCTTCGGGGAGAAGCGTGGTCAAGGGTACGCGTCGGGATTGGCTGGCGGGGTGACGTTGTCCATGGAGGGATAAAATGGTGGCACGGTCCGTGCCGCTCGCATTTCAACTCCCTCATTTGTAAATAGGGACAAATATAGCCTCGAACAGGGTTGAAGCTATGCATCATGGAAATGTGAATCCTGTCCTTCACTACAACAGTGGTTGAGTTGTTTGTCTCTGGGAAGATATGTGGTGGCATGTTGCTGTAACGTGCTGGCGAGCTGTGGCGTACGCAGTCTCACTGATTTTGTCACTTTTTTTATAACCACATGACAAAATCAATGAAATGTAATTGTCGATGCCAATGCCGCCTAACCAAAAAAGTGCTTGCATTCAAATAATTCATCATAAATCAATTAATATACCCACTTGTCCACGCTACCACCGCTTACCCCATATTTCTTGCGGCACGGCCAGGGTCACTGCGCGGCCCTGCTGAGCTCGCTGTGCTCGGCGGCGACGCGGTGACGCGGGGCCAGGGGGTCAAGACGACGCCAGCGGGGATCAAGAGTTCAGGGAGGATCAGAGTCCAGAAGTGTGGCCGATCACGCCGCGGCCTGCGGCTGCGCGTGTAGCGCTGGGGACGGGGGACGCTGGCGCGCCAGAGAAAGAGAGGGAGAGAGGGGCGGAGGGGCGGACACGTCGCCGCCGCCCCGCCGCCCGGACGCCTGCGAGGTAGGCACACACTCTCCTGGGCGACGACCCTGGCGGAGGTGTGGCCTACCCTCCTGATCACAGGGGCAGGGCCTCGGGCAGGGCGCAGGGCGGAGCCGCGTGTGCCCTGCAGATCCCCAGCGGATGTGGTACACTTACGAATCTTGCGTGTTGCAGCTTCCTTGAAAATGGCAAAAATGTGTTCTTCACTTCATACGGCAGCACGTGAGATTCTTTCTCGCAGGAGTCAAAACTGTTCTCGCACTCGGTGTTTTTGCACAGGCCCGTCGTCTCTCTCACAACATTATGTTTAAACGTAACAGAAAGAGCGCCACAAATATCTCGGCTTGTGTCAACGAGCGGCTGTATTTCCTCTCCTAATTCCTAATCACCCTGCATCTCGTTCCCGTCCGAAACCGAGCCGACCGAGCCCGCCCACCGGGCGGCGTTGGCGCTACTCCGCGCCTCGGGGCTCCTCAGTCGATACCCCCCGCCCAGCATAGCAAGGCGCGGAGTAGCGCCGACGGGCCAGGCTTGTTCGGACTTGCCTCCGAAGGTGGGTAGGTAGGGCATAGATGAGGGGGCAGAGCCACTTTATTGCATTCGAGGTGCGACCTCAAATATCTACACGTTTTATGAGCAATGATTTAGATACCACCGAGAGGGAGTGACGAAGTGTGGTGCAAGGAGTGCCATTGTAGACGATTCGCCGAATTGCACAAAATCTTTAGTCACACTAACATAAGCTTTTATCTAGATGCAAGAATCAAAAGAATGCAAGTGTTTGGATTCAATAGTTGTCTAGTTGTCATGCCAGGGTCCCTGAGTTGAGACCAGTGAGACAGAGTGGTGGCTCTCGCGCGCCCGGCAGCTAGACTACTTCTTTGACGCCGGCGCAGCCCCGGCGGACGACGCAGCAGGCGCCATGAGTGACGTTAGTGACGTTTCCCTAGTGCCTCCCTCTCCTAAAAACACTTTTTGTTCTCTACTTTATTTTAAGCTTTGTTTTGAGCTTTAAAAAAACTTTCGGTTTTTAATTTTGTTTGCGTGCTTGCATACCACATGCAGGAGAAATAAAGAGTGACGAATCGAAAAAACTTTGGCTATTTTTCTCTGTTACCTCTTTTGTAACTGTCATTCTATTTTGTTCTTCGCGGCATTTGTCGTAGCTACGGGTCACACGAACGCCCACAACAGGAATACGTAACAGCCGGGCAGTTTCGAACTTCGCGCTCCGTCAACCACGTGAGTTTCAGACCACTCCAATGCTTCTTACTTTGCTGTGGCCTCTGCCGAACGGAAACCATGGTGTAAGGCTCATTCCTCCAATTTATCAAAGTGTTTTTTCTCCGACCATTCTGAAAGAAAGTTAAAGATCGAAAAGTATTGCACAACTTTGACTAGGGCAGTGAACGCAAGGGGCGAAGCGGGGCGCGGGACGGGGGGAAACTTGGGTGGGGTGGGATGCGAAACGAACGACAAACAAACGAACTGAGCCCGTAGCCGATGGTCGCACCTCTCAGTGCTCCTGCTTCAAACGTGAATTTGGTTTGGAAATATCTCGGTCTGGCCTCGGTATTGGCTGAAATATTGTGCATAAGGACTTCAACTTCTCTGCGAAACTGTCGGGGTAAGTAAAAAGCGTCTCTGGAAGCAACATTTTGCGTTAAATGTGGTAACCAAGTGATGAATTTGTCATACGTCGCTCTTAGGCTTTTATTGCCTTTTCCTAGAGCGGGAGGAAGTGACGTAGGAATGAAAATTTGAACATAGCCTCTTGTACATATTTAACGTTGCGTGTTCGTCGTTAATTTTTGGCCTCTCACCGAGAGTCATCCTCCTTGACAGTCCTAGAGTGTTATGCAGTATTGTCATCTTTGCTTTTCATCTTTTGTCCATAGAGTTGTCAATCATTACTTTCATTCACTTTTTTTTAGTCGCATTGACAACATTGATGTGAATTATAGTAATGATGAAATTTCTAACAAGTAGTATACCATGAACTGATATGCCTGAAAAAAAAAGTTCCCTCTCTCTGGTTTATTGTCACCAATCTAATATTCCAACAAGTTACAAATATTTTGCTTAGATTAAATCTTTTGTTGCTTGCAGATATGTCTCAAGTTGCCACTATTCTTGATGGTGGAGGAGGAGGCACAGGACCAGAAGGTGGAGCGGGTTGCGGTGGTGCAGGCAGTGCCGGTGGAGGTGGTGGAAGTGGCGGCGGGGGAAGACGTAAAGCCCTTGCTCACAATAATTTAATATTCCCAAGGAAACAAAACATGCACAACCACAAGCATGGTCGCAAAAGGCTCCACAGTCAACACAGTCAGTCTGGTGGAGAAAGAGGAGGAAAGTTTCATCTTCCTCACAAAAAACGCCGTAAAGATGGTCACATTCCTCCGACGAAATTTTTGCTAGGTGGAAATATTTGTGACCCACTTAACCTTGGAAGTCTTCAGGATGAGGAAATCAACCGGTAAGTGTGATCAGTTACCTTTCTTCAAGCATTTTTTTCAGTTTAAAATTTTCATTTATAATTTATTAAAATCTATTTCTTTTAAATCTAACTACAGGGCCATGAATGCAGTTACTCCTAAGTCATCTCCCCTTCCAACTCCCAAACATAGGAAAGGAGAAGTTGAAGTCATAATTCCTCCAAACATTAATGATCCTCTGAATCTTAACTCATGTGAAGATGATGAGGAGTATGTGGCACAGCTTGCCAACTCTGGTGGTTCTCCAGTGAAGAAAGCTCGTAACAAGAGTAAACGGAAAAAGAAAAGACTGAGCGGAGTCTCATCGTGCTCTGGGAAAGAGGAGGTTAGTGATATCTTGTTAATTCAGTGCCATTTGGTTGAAATCTAAACTTAACATAGCAACAATTTTTGTTTCATCCAGAATTTAGATGGGTCTACTAATTTAGACAAATCTGGCAACATCAGCATGATGTCAGATACAGCTGAAACACCATCAGAGACCACTTCAATGTTCAAGGAAGGCATACCAACAGGAGGCCCTGTTACACCTGGTGAGATAGCTGCCCAAGGTGGTGGGGATGCTGTTGAGGCAGCTATACCAGAACCGGCAAAGATCCATGATAGCCCTATGAAAAGGCCTAACAGAAGGTCTGAGGAAGGTGGTAAAGACAGACGACCTCGCAAGGTATGTGCCATAGGTTTTTTTGAACTGGCTCAAATTCAAGAACACTGTGGATCTTACCATTTAACTTTCTAATACAATTCCTTTGTTCAGTTTCAGGTGGATCTCAAGGACAAAATTGTCAGCCCTGTCATCCGGCAGCCAGGCCAAAAATCACTCCATGGTTACCACGGCCACCACGGCCACCATGGACATGGGCGAAATCAAAAGTTCAAAGACAGGAAAAACAACGGACCACCGTTAAAGGAGCCCAAATTTAGAGCCAAAGATGCGAATTTTCAATATGGAAATTTCAATAGGTTTGTTAATTGTACATCTTATTTATGGTGAACTTGGTTGAACTTACTACATGTTTATCATGTAATTCTTATTTTTAGGTACTATGGATATCGAAACACAGTCCATGAACCTGATCTCCGTCTTAAATGCTTTGCTCAACATCCTGAATTATTCAGAGACAGAGATGTCTTGGATATAGGTTGCAATGTGGGGCATATTACTTTATCTGTGAGTATTCTCTTTCTTCTAGTTTTAAACTCCCAATTTTCCAGTTTGAAACTCTTCTTTAATGCTAATTGTAACCATTTCCCCCCTCCAGATTGGCCGAGACTTCAGAGCAAGAAGTGTTGTTGGGATTGACATTGACCGCAAACTAATTGAAATTGCAAGAAAAAATGTTCGTCATTACGTGAATTATGAACAGTCTCCTGCACCAACAGCAGCTGGGACACCAAGCAGTACTCCGAGTCATTGTACGCCTTCATACACGCCATCATATGGACCCCAAAGTCAGATGACTTCTAGCAAGGAGAGGAGCCCCAATGACCGTTTCTTCCCAATATCCATGCCTATTGTGTATGGTCCAATTGAGATCCCGGGAATTACTGACGGTATTCGAACCCCTCGGCCGGCCTGTGCACCCCTTCCATTTCCTAAAAACATATCATTTGTTCAGGTAAAGTAAATTAATTCTGTTTTCTTCTACTTCGTCTTGGGCCGGAGCACAAATCATTAATCCTCTGCTTTGTGTACTTTTGTTTTTGCAGGGCAACTATGTTCTTGATTCTGACTCACTTTTGACATTGGAACAGCCTCAGTTTGATGTCATATTATGCTTGAGTATTACAAAATGGTTTCACTTAAATTGGGGTGATGCTGGTTTGAAAAGAGCATTCCGAAGGATGCACTCACAGCTTCGCCCTGGTGGATGTTTAATATTAGAACCTCAAGGTTGGCCTTCTTACAATCGTAAGAAGAAACTGACTGTAAGTATCCACATCAACTGTCACATTTTACGTGTCTGGTGTTATGATGCTATCAAAAACCAATTAGATTTTTTACCTCTTTCCTTTGACACTTGCTACTTGTTTCTTTCAGGAAACCATTTGGAAAAACTACAACAGTATTGAACTTTTCCCTCATCAGTTCAGGGAATACCTTTTGTCTCCAGAAGTTGGATTTTCCCACTGCCGGGTGCTGGACGTCCCTCAACACGCTGCCAAGGGCTTCCGCCGCACCATTACCATGTTTGTGAAAGGCGACCCTTCGCCAGCTCACTCGGCCCTGAGCATGGACAGTTCCACCGTGCTTCCCCCAACAGTATATGCGCAAACAAGTTGTGATGGTGCTTCGCCAATGAGCGGACTCACACCCGATGCTAATTTAGGATCTCCAGGACCAAGTGGACTGCCAGACTCCTCTTCAGACCCCACTGGTCGTGCACCTAAATATCACTATGCATCTCTTGGCCAAAGCGGCTTTACTCCGGACCATGCCAGTGCATCCCCTCTGACCAACGGGCCGGCTTCAGTAACATACTGTGCATCTCCCATGTCAGGAGGGTACACCCCAGACCCTAGAAGTGCATCACCAGTTCCGAGTGGCCTAACTCCCGACTATTCCGGAGCTTCACCATTGCCTGCTGGCTTGACTCCTGATCCTCGAAGTGTATCCCCTGGGAGCATGACTCCAGACCCTAACAGCACTTCCCCATTCCCTAGTGCTGGTGACTTTCAGAGTGCGTCTCCCATCAGTGGTTTTGTTCAAGATACACAAAGTGCATCATGTGATACATCAGATGGTGAAGCAACGCGGTTTGGAGCACCAAGCAGAGACCAAAATAAATCAGAACATGTTCAAGGAATTTATTCTGATGGTGAACGGATGTGGACAGAGATACCACAATTTCAAGCACACAAGACTGAAGAAACTGAGAGTGTGCAAGTAGTAGAAGAAAAAGCTTTGTCAGGCAGTTCCATTGAAAAGGTTCCACCTGAATCAAATGAAATCAAAGAGGACTCCCAGGTTGATGGAGCGGTCTTGACTTTGGATTCTGCTAATGCTACTGATAGTTAGGCTGATGTCAGTCCCTGTGATCCTGCTACTCCTGGTGAGAGCAGTCTTTAGACTTTGGAGTGCTTATTTGCATACCCAGTGAAAGTAGCTGTCATTGAAGATTGAAGACTAAGGACACTTACAGTTTTTACCTTCAGCTACAAATTGTTTGTTATTTCTCACTTGGAACAGTTGTCATCTTTTTCTTTGCAAATTTATGTTAGTATTGTGGGATGTGTTACAGATTCCAACCATTCATCCTCCTTTCACAACTTGTTTTGACCATTTTTTGATTATTTTTTTTCCTTTTTAAAAATGTGTATTATTACGTTTTAATTGTTCCTTGACTTATTTATGGTTCTGTTAAGTAAACCTGTATGCTTCTTCTCATATGCTGTTCATTTGTCCTCTAACTTCACACATTTACTGCAAAAAAGTATAAGACACCATTGCAACTTGATATTTTAAGTTTATATTGACAAAGTTGATTCAACCAAAGAAAAATCAACTACAGTACTTTCAAATTAATACAGTTAATGAAACAAAAAACAAACCACTTAAATCAACAGACAGTATCACAAACAGAACTTCCCTCTTGAGTGCAGAGGGAAACCGAACACACATCAGTCTTGTCACATCTGAGTAAGCAAAAGATCATCATCGTCCGAATCATTCAGGAGAGCAGCATAGTCAACTTCTTGTTGGGAATCTTCTCTTATAGCCTCTTCAAGTAGAGTTAAATTATGGGCACCTTCATCCTCTCTAGTAAAGAAAAGATACAATACAATCAGATGCCAATCAATCCTTTGTTTCAAGAATGGGGTAAACTTACTCTTCATCTGCAGCTATGGCATCAACCAGCATGGATAGATTCTTAGCTCCCTCATTGTTGCTGTTACATGAAAGTTACATGTTATGCATCCAAATATGTATGCCTTTGAATGAGTCTAATCAAGTTTTACTTACTCATCATCACTCTCATCTTCAGAAATGTGAAGTTCGTCATCCTGCTGAACAGCTTGTTTCTTCGGATCACTTCAAGATTCAAGCATAAACCATTAGCTATTATTCTGATCAGGTATCTAAATCAATGATTACAAGAAACAACTTACATAAAAAAGGTGACTTTCTCCGATTTTTGCTCCTTCTGTGAGTCTTTAAAAGATCTAAAATTTTCACTGGAAGTGAGGAATTTAATAAATGTTGAAAAGGTAAGGGCAATTAATGATGGAAGCACAAAGAAAAGTCTTTCTATTCCAGCAACTTACCAGAAACTTTTGAGAGGTTCCATTGAAGTTACATGTGATGCAAATCTGCCTTGGTCTGAAGTTAATTTAAAGGCAATATAAGACACACTTACAAAAGACTAAAAGATTGCAAAGAATAATGAAAAGCTCACCATTTGAGAGATGTTCCGCACAGCAAAAGGGCATGTATGGAATAACATCACTCATCAAAACAGTATGACTGACTGGGTACAGTGGAAAAAGTGTTTCAGTCAAGGCATTGCTAAACAGAAAAAAAATTATTGAAAATAAAAAAAATAAAAATAAGAGTGTTTTGGTTCATTTAAAGGAAAACCACAAACATACACTTTTTGTTGAGTGTTCGTGAGCTCATGATAACGTGACCCCTTAACAGGAGTAAAGGCTCTATTGGGAATTTTATTATGCACCATGACACCTCGTACAAATGCATCCAAACATATTTCATTTGAAGCTTCAACACCCTGTAGAAAAAGTAGACAATTACTGCCAAATTCCGTCAAGAGTGGAAGAAAAGTTTACTGAGAAAACAATGATTACATACCACACCATTCATCATAATGTCTGCATCACTTAAGCACCTAGCAGCTAAAGAGACAGACTCAATAGCTGAGTAAGTCTTGAGGTAGTTTTCTTCAACCAACAGTAAAAGAGAACCAGCAGAAGATATATAAGAGTCTACAATAGTGCTTGGGTTGTGAATCCACTCTGCTCCTGGTACAGAGGCATCAAGATGCTTGTCATCCACTTTCCTCTTGCGCTTCACTTGACTACTCTGGGGTTTATCTCCTTCTGACTGCCCTGCACATCACAAATTAGCCAATTTTTAGTTCCAAAGACATCCAACATCCACATGAACTCCCATACAGATAGCTACACAACAGAAAATGAATGGCACCCATCCAATCACTACAACTATAGACACATCCAACAAGGGAGTCACATACTAACTACACACATATCCCATGATTACTACATGCAACAAAATCAGGCAACTAATAACACACATACACTTAGGGTACAGGATACGGCCCACAGCCCGGAGAATCCCCACTCGATCATCTTTCCCACAAGTTGAGACAACTTCTTCTTCTTGGGTGAGTTTCTGTGCATTTGTCTTCTTTCGTGTGGGCCCTTTCTTTCCAGCCAAATCAAATAGTGCTGCAACATCTGTGGAAATTAAGATAGATGAAGTTCCACACATCATACATTATATGGAGCGACATCAAGGACATGAGGGCAGACCTTCTTGAGGTTTCATTTGAAGAGTCAACATGGCATATCGCACATCTCCACTGGCACTTTCACAAATTTCATTCACAACGTCTGAAGGTGGAGGCTTATACCCAGGAGATATTGATTGCAAATAAGATGCCATGCGTTTCACTGCTAGCAGCATTTTTGCTTTGGTAACAGGATTCAACCTGAGGAGGAAAAATATACATGGAAGGGAAACACCCAAAACAAGTCCAAAAAACAAAAACTAAAGAAAATTACATACTTTACATGTGTCATTCCAAGTCTCATCTGGATACTAGCAGGAAATAGTTCCATTTCAATATTTAAATTTCTATCTGCCACATCGGAGCAAATAAAAATGATGGGAGCCTTAGCAGTCATAGAGTATTTCCTGAACAAAATAGATAGTCATAGAACAGTAAATGTGACAGCCTGAAGACAAAACTTTCTGTTTCAATATTACATGCTCAACATACCCTAATAAATCATGAAATATTTCTGGTTTCAGCAAAAATATGTTTGGATAGTCTTCTACCAAAAGAAGTGAAGCAGCAGTCGAGGATTTAACAAATAGATCAGCATACCGGCTACAGGAATACAAGTAGTCTTCAAACTTTTCTGTTTGGTTTTGAAATACTCCAGACTCTGCCCCTGAATAAAATAGCCAATGATCAAAATAAGAAATGAAGCACTAGAGTAAAGATACAAGAGCTAGGTAAATTGATGTACCATTTTGAAAGTCTCTGTCCAGTGGTGTAATCCATTCTCTTATTTCAAAACCCAAACTACGACCTACACATTTGACAACAGTTGTTTTGCCACCGCCTGTTGGTCCCGTAAGAAGCAGAATTCCACATTTCCGTCTCTGATTCGACAATAATGGGGAAAAAGGTCAATGTTTTGACAGGTGATAAACTTGCTGAAAAGGAGCTTATTTGAGAAGACTCACATGAGATGATAGCCAAGAAGAAATTTCTGCAACTTTCTTTGAGTCAACTGCTAACTCATCAATAGTGTATGGCTCAGCCCAGTTGTCTCCAAGCTTAAATAATGATAAGGTGATATTAAACATGAAATAATAAGAGATTAGGTAAATATAAGCTATACCCAACAACACAAATATGAATCACAACTAGAACTTCAGCAGCAAAGACTGTCCCAAGCAAACTATTATTGCATGAGATTACAAGAGGAACAATTGTGAGAACTTACAACAAATCGTTTGGCATGTCCTTGTAGATAATTCTGATGTCTTGCCATGCCATTTACATAAACAGCTTAAAGCTTTAAACAAAGAAAAGTGATCTATGCTTGAGGTGGCTTGAGGCTCCTATGACCTTCAGAGAAACGTTGTGTCAAGGAGTCAGAAGACAAAACAAGCCACGAAAAAGCTAGACAAAGTTTAAAAAGGCTGTGCGCATACTCATTGAAGCTCTTGCCACTTCAATAAAATTGAATAATAGCAAAAAGCATTCGAGAACATGAGAGATTTGTTTCGGAAAGATTGAAACCGCCTCCCCAAACCACCCAAACCAAAACAAAACACCTCAACCGGTCACCGCCTTCTCGAAAGCGTTCGGTCGCGCCCACCCCCTCCCCCTTCCCCTCTCCTGCTTATCGCGGGAATTCTCGAAAATGAACTGCTGAGTAAGTAACGCCGCAATGTTGTTGTAGCCTAAAGTACTTCCTCAGTTGAAGTTGAAACTATCTAAGCTTCTAAATTATTTTCGTTTTATGTTTCACACTTTTCTTCGTTTCAAGGTCTTCGGTCGCTCAAAGGATACAGGCATAAGTGTTTGTGAATGTGTGTCTTCAAGCTCAGAGGTTATTTGTTGATCAGCCTGTTGCCGAAATAAAATAGAACGCGAAATATTTTTTATGTACTTTGTACATCAAAGGTACATCTTTTTAGATTGTTTGCTGTGCCTTACGGTGCCTCTGAAGGCAGTTTAAAAGCATGACATGTCACTGATATACTCAAATGGCTTAATTGTGCTAACCATGCTTCAACTGCATTCTTTGGCTGAACTTTACTGTTACTTGCATTTTTCACCATGACATTATTTTGTAGCATTGAAAATATATCTCTTCTTCCTAGAACTCTACAAGAATAAATGCGATGCTCAGGAGAACTTCTTGCAAACCTTGTTACTGTCGAAATATATGCCCCTGCGATACACGCTGTTAGAATTATTTTTATTGATTTGTTTTTACTTTTATTGACTCAAGATCCAGTGTTAGTTTATTTTCTTGTCTCTCTGTGTGTTTCCAAGAACTGAAATGCCAGACGGAAACTGCCTACCCTGACCAGTCTCTTTCTAGTATTTCTCGTTCTTGGTGAAACTATTTTCAATTTTTTTTCTTTGCTTGTTTTGTTGATTTTATATTTTTGTTTAAGAATTTCCTCACAGGTTCGTTCCTTAGAGGTTTGTGTGGTCGTAAGCCCCAGGTTAATGTATTCTGCTGAGAGTGTGGCAGTTGCTTTTCAGAATCGTATTGTAGCAGTAGTTTGGTTTGAGAATGGGGCATGCGTAGAATGCTATTTAGTAGTTACTGAGCACCCACTGTCTGTTTGTGCAAGTAAGTTCAACATAATCTCTGTTGCAGATATTGTCATCACCGAGCTATGGCTGAATTCAGACAGCACCTCAATGCACCCTTCTATCAAGTGCTCTCCAAGGTCCTCCACGGACGACGAGTACGAAACCTACGAGGATTTCGACCTCCATGAAGCCGACGACCACGATGACCCCCTGCGATTCTTAGGTGGGAGGCATGGCTTCTAATCCCGACGTAGATTTCTTTTTCCGTCAACTTTGTTGGAGCATCAAGTTTTGATTTTCTTGTTTCAGTGCCTGTTAAACAGGAACTGTGGAGCCCCGCAGACAGCCGCGACTCCGCACTGGACGTGAAGCCCAACGTACGCCTCCTGGAGGCGAACCTGGCCGCGGCCGGCAAGCCGGGCCAGCCCTCCGAGGATGCCGAGGTGCGTAAAGGACCTGTCTTCCTCTCTGAGACTATCCTCCTCGATGTTCTCTACAACTTGGCGTTGCAGGTCACCACTTCGGAAGTCCGCGTTCACTGTTCGAAGCTGGGCATCGACTTGAACAACGCGGTGCAGACGACCCGCGCCGGGACCGAGGAGGAGGACGACGTAGACGTGGACGCGAGCGACGGCGACTCCAGTCAGAAGGCCAAACTGCACCTGTGCGAAGACTGCGGCGTCCTCCTGTCCACCGCTGTCACCCGACTGCGGCACCGGTGCAGCAAGTTCAAGTGCGTGGCCGCGTGGCGAGGGAAGCACGGGGCGGGCTCAAGTCGCACCGACTCACTGACGCACTGTTTTGGCATTGCAGGTGCGGCGACTGCGACTGGCGCGGCCCGTCCCAGGCGTTGCTGCAGGCGCACCAGCGGGAGCAGCACGACGCGGGCAGGCCGCACTCGTGCCCCGAGTGCAAGGCGCGCTTCACGGAGGCCAGCAGCCTGAGGCAGCACTCGCGCATGCACGCCAAGGGCACCACCACGTGCGCGTGCCCGCTGTGCGGCGCCAACTTCAACACGGTGCACAACCTGTCGCGCCACCTGCCGCAGTGCCGCTTGCGCTCGGGCTCGGGCCCCTCGGGCCGCAGCAGCCTCAGCCCAGGACACGGCCTCCAGGACACCAAGCCGTTCCTGTGCAAGCTGTGCCTGGCCACGTTCTGGCACCAGAGCCAGGTGCAGCGCCACGTGCGCGCGGTGCACACCCTCAGGAAGCCGTTCAAGTGCCGCGTGTGCGTGTCGTCGTTCGCCTCGCAGCGCATCCTCAACAACCACGTCAAGCAGGTGCACAGGTACGAGGCGGAGACGTGGGGCGCCAAATCACGCGCATCGTTCCGAATATGTTTTGAAACGACGACCTCCTTTTTCCAGCATGCCACGGCCGTACACCTGCTCGGTGTGCTTTATGCGGTACGGCGAACGCGAGGAGCTGATGCAGCACCTGCAGGTGCACCTGGTGTCGTCGCCGTCGGGCCGCAAGGTGGGCGTGGACAAGATGTCTGCCTTGGCCGTCAAGAAGGAGGTGGGCGAGGACGACAGGGAGCGCCGGATGACGCGCAGTGTCTCTCGCAGCAGCACGGCCAGCGGCGGCAGCGCACTCGACAACATCAAGACGTACGCGTCCGATAGCGACTAGCGAACATTTTTTGTCTCAGAAGGAAAACGGAGAGCTTTTTACTTGAATCATTATTAATTGTTAAATCAACGTGTTTTTGTATCAATTGTGATGGATTTTCAAAATACCTTATTTTTAGAGAAATCGTTTTTACTCCTTTATCAATGGGATTTAATGTTTAGTTTGATGTTACTTATTTCTATTTGAAAAATTGTCCCCACTCTGTTTCATTGGGGTTTTTGTTCATTTGTAATAAACGCATGTTTCTCACATGATGTAGTCCACAATTTTTGTCATCCATCTCCACCATATTCCTATTTTGTAGTATGTGTTACATGAAGAGTCCATTATTGCTTTGGTACTCTAATTACTATCAGATGCACGTTTGCACCATGAAGTAGGACTATTTGCACTTCCACCTCGCTAATTAAAAATTTAGCGCCACTCGAGGATTCGAGGCTCTCTACGGATAGTCGATCTCTCTACATTCGATCGATACCATCGAAGGTATTTACGAGCGCAGGCAGAGCACGAAAATAAAATGGAGGCTTCAATGTCACATAACCCGGTTGAGATCAAGTTTTGTTTGTTTGTCTAAAACTTGGATGCAAATTGGGACTTCTATCAGTTCCATGACTCCATATCGGGAATTCTCGTGAGTATTATTGTCATTTGTGTGACGTGGAGCTGTGCATTAGAGGGAACGAATTGACATTGCGCTGGTGTAGCTCTAGGCTTAGGCTTAAATCGGACGGTAACGGTTTTCCCAAGAAATTCTTTTCGTTTTATGGTTCAACAGTGTCGACCCCAACCGTGACATCTAATTTGCTGGGTCGCTGGGCTTCGTTTGGATATGTGGCTTGTCTCATGACCTTCTTGATGTAGGCTACTAGTTCAGTCTCTTCAACTTGATTTGCATTACCCAGATAGAAGCTTCTGTCACGGTATTTCATTTGTTTGTTTCAGTTTCCCTATTTTATTGTTTTTTAGTCTTAAATTTTATTGTTTTAATTTTTTTACTAATGTCATACACCCGCATTGCTATCTCATGATAATACAAATATTCATGTTGCACATAACCTTCTCTTGGCACTTAAGTATTGTTGGTAATTTGTGCCCAGTTCCTTTCTTCTTCTGTCTTTTTGTGCGTTCAGTCTTGTCTCTTTATTTTTTATGTTCGTTCCTGTACCTATTGTCATTTGAATTGATCATTCAACAGGTGCAGGGAAGATGACAGTGATTGCAACAGGCACCTCTGCTTCTGAAACCAGCGGTCCTCCCCCAAGGAAAAAGATTTGCCTCTCCCTGTCTGGGAAAGGGAGGACAAAGCCATCTACAGCCGAGGCGGATTCACCGTCTGAAATGAGTGTGACAGTGAATAGAGTTGACGCAAACAAGAGACGATTCAAGAAAAACTTTCCCCAGTCAGATACTCGTTTCAGGAGGGAAGCCTTGACTGGTCCATTAGAATCAGGTACTAAATTGCATTTACTCATGTGCACATGTTATCTTTAAAAAAAAAAATTTTAATAATTAATTTACTTGCTTATGTTTTATTTACTTCAGGCATGATGCTGAATGGATTTGTTTCGGATTCTGTGAATTCAATTCCAGCAAGCGATGATAGTCCTAGTAGTGATGCCCCACTTGTTGCGACTCTTTGCAATCTGGGCAATACCTGTTTCTTGAACAGCATTCTGTATACACTTCGCTTTGCACCTCACTTTTTACATAAACTCCATCACCTCGTTAATGACCTTGCCGATGTGGCTTCACGCGACAATACAGCAAAGGTATGGTATTTGTTGTACCACTTCTGAAGTAGGAAGTAGATAAAAACATTATTTAGTATTTTTTCTGACTTACTATGTTTGAATTTCAGGTGAAGTCTTCATCTCTTGGTAGAAGTATAGGTTTAAGTAGTAAACACTATTGGAATGTGGAACAAATGAGAGCATCAAGTGAGTCATATGCCAAAAAGAGGGTTCAAGCTGTTTCTGAAAAATTGCATGAAGTATATGAGTCACTACACAATGCTGAACTTAAGGAAAGTACAGAACCCTTCCAACCTGATGTGTTTTTACATGCTCTAAGGTGAGTTTAACTTCTGACTTTGTTCTGTATATTTTTATAGTTCAAATCAGATTTAAAATTTTGAGTTGTTTCTTCCAGAGAGGTAAATCCCATTTTTGAGGGGAATCAACAACACGATGCCCATGAATTGCTTGGATGCCTGTTGAATTACATGCGGGAAACCTGTCAGGACCTAGCTAAACAACTAGAATCACATCAAAACTCAGGTTTGTTTTCACTCGTTTTCAATCGATTGTTTGCTATTTCCTAAAGTGAAACCATGAATTTTCTTTGTTTATAGAGCTATGTAATGGTGCTTCAAGCGTTGAGGATGTCAAAAAAGAAACCAAAGGTTCCCTTCTGGCCCATGTGGGTCTGTCTTCTTCAACATCAAGTATAAGTGGTGCAAAATGGGGTATGAGGAAGTCATGGAAGCGCAAAAAGCCTCTTAGTGAAAACTTCCTCAAACCTAATCGAAGTGGCAAAAATGGTGGTCAACCATCTGTGATAAGTAATGGCAATGCCACTGGTCAACAATCCAGTAATGGTGAAGCAACTTCCAGTATTGAGCCTGCACCGAATGAGGTATATCTAACGGATTTTAAACTTCAAATGTGATTCCAATCTATTACAACTGTCATCATTTATGACTGAAATAACTTTTCTTACAGCCTAGAATATTGGTAAATGGAGAAGCACATGAAATTAGTGATGGGGATAGTGCTGGCAAAGAAAATGGTTCTTGTTCATTAAGACCCTTGCAAGAAACTGATGAAGCTGATAATGCTGAGGAAAAAACTAGGCTTAACTTTATAGAAGAAGATTTTGAAGGTGTAATGGTTTTGTGCACAAGATGCTTGGAATGTGAATGTATCACTGAAATGAAGGAAGCTTTCTACGAAATTGGTGTTCCGATTGCTTCTGATCAAGATCCAGAGATTCGTAAGTGCTTATCTTTTCCTACTTCATGACATTTACATTCTATCAGATACTGTTATCATGTTACGATTTCAACAGGAGAAGATGGAAAGAGAATCTCAGAGCTCTACAGATCATCAGTAGTCACAGAAGAACTGCTTCACCATGTGAACAAATATTGGTGCGAACATTGCTTGAGATATAATGAAGCTCGAAGATCTGTTCGTTATGAAACATTGCCACGGCTTCTTACTCTTCAAATGAAGAGATTTTCCTCAACTTTTGGGTACATTTTGTTGATTTGTTTTTCAAAGGAAATTGTGTTGGTTTATTGTGTGTACTATTTCATTATATTTTTCTTTATTATTATTTCAGATCAATGGTTTGCATGTCCAAGGTAAATGACTTCATGCCAACTCCTTTGATATTGGACTGTTTCTGTGAAGAATGCCTTGAAGCCGTATCTAAGGAACAGGGCGTGAAACACAGGTACCAGCTGTATGGAGTAATTATGCATTTAGGAGCTACAATTGCTTCGGGTCACTATGTAGCTTATGTACGAGCTTCAGATCCTATTTCTGAGTATCGCTCTTGTGACAAGGACAAACGCAAAACTGCAAGTTTAATTGCCACCAATGCCACCAAAGGAAGCAATCAACCTGACAGCGAAAAGGGTCGGGGATTACTTAAATTTTTCTCCAGAAACAAATCAAATACTTCTGATGCTGTTTCCACAAACCATCTTACAAATCCACACTATAGGAATACCTGTCGAAGTTTGGATTGTTGTGGAATTCGTTTGAATAGATCATATCACTCTGCGGAAAAGATTATTGCAGTGAATGGGAGTGGAGCGGGGAATGAGGAGGCTGAGGAAGAAGGACCAGAACCTGCATGGTTGGAATGTGACGATGAAACCGTCAGAGTTCTGAGTAGGCAACAATTGGAAGACATTTTGGCTCCCAAGCAATCAAAGAACTCTTCACTGACACCGTACCTTTTGTTTTATGCTCGTATTCCTTGACCAATTGAAGTTTCTAGTACACATCACCAAATTAATCTTTACATCTTAATTGGAGTGTATAGAGCCAGAAAAAAAAATCATTGTACTAGGTACATTTGAGACAAATAGTTCAGCCTTGAACTAAGGTAGATTTTCATTTATTGATGGTTAAAGTTCATGTAGAAGATATTAGAGTTGGACATAACTCTATATATTTTGTATTTCTAATTTTGCTGACTTTACAACTATGTCTCCCATCCCCAACCTTCTCCTCATTTTCCTTCTCCATTCATGTTGATGTCATAGTGTTGGGGCTTTCTTGAAGCTTTTTATTTAACTAATGTTGAGAGTACCGATAGTTGACTGAGAATGTTTACTGTACTTTACAGACTGTCTTTAAGTTTTTAGGTGTACCACACATTTCTATATCGCGTTATCACAGGGTTGCGCAGTGCCAGGACTATTTCTGTCTAACTCTTTTTACTTTGTCATTTCTTAAATTCTGAAAACTGGATGCATGCTGTGTTGTAATAGTGCAATTTTATAAATGTTACTTATTTGGTTATTGTTTTTATGTAATTAGTTCAGCTTAAATCAACATCCCTCATGTTTTGATCTGCATCTAAGGGCGTTCTTTTGAGAATTTTCCCTGAAAAGAAAACGCAGTTTTAGTAAATTTTGTCATGAGTAGAAGTTATATTTGTAATGTTTTACGGCGTAATTGAAGGAGTTTCTTCCAGAACTCTGATGTCAGATTTTTAAAAAAGGGAATCATGGAATTCGGGCAAATGTAAAGAAATGGCAAAAATTGAATCTTTTATTAGAGGCTACAGCATGTCTTGCTGACTTTGGTATCAACTGAGGGATTTTTCTCATGTTATACATTCTCCTTGCATCTGCTTGTTAGTGACACTAAAAATAAAGTACTTCGTTTTCTCTACTTAATGTTGATGTTGCTTCTCACCATTTTTTATGAAGTTACAACATTTATTACGAAGTTACGATGTTCCTCAACTCAATATTTTGGTCATATTTATATGATCTGTGTGTTCATCATTCTTTTGTAGGAAACTTCAAAGATATTTTTTTAAAATTATCTGTTGATTTTGTGATAAAGGAGGGGTTACTTTCACAAAAGATATGTGCTTGTAGCGGCCTAAATTGTGAAGACTTTTGAGCAATATTGGAATGTTATCAATGACCCTACTGTATATTCTATTAATATTTCAGAATTTGAAATTACATGTTACTATGAAGGTGGGAGTTATTTGGCAAACTCTTCTGTAAGCTTTGATAGGGAATTGATGCCACATTATTTGAAGACAGCCATTTTTCAATGAGACTCCTGTGCACTAATTAGACTCACAAGTTTTAGTTTGCTTCTGAGTGGCCAGTTCTGGGTAGTTTAAAGGACAGATTTGTTATTTCTTTTCTTAGGCTTCTTCATTATTCTCTTAAACTCACATTATTGGTCTTATTTCATGTCTTTCACGGTGGATGCACCATTTTTAGTGTAGCTTATGATGTAGGGACCACTTTAGTAATCCTAGCACTTTAATTATCATTCTGGTGTTCTAAACGTGCTGACTCACTGTGCCTTTCCTGAGCAATAGATCTTTTATTTGACAAAACCTGGTAAAATGTGTAGCTGCAGATGTAGTGTCGTACCAAGCCACAAACTCTTTGTGGACTTGCTTCCTATCACAACCCTGCGTTTTCTTTATTAAATTTTAGGTGCATGTAACAAGGTGATTGCTCTTTTATTCTAAAGAATACTATTGTCATGTTTTGTCCTGTTGCAGGACTGTAAGATCGTATTATTTGTCTATGTTGAATAGTGCATAGTATCATTAATATTTTCCTGATTTTTATCTTATCCTTATGCTGTCAGCAGTGGGAGGTAATTGCTAAAGTGAAGACCAAAGGAGTTCATGTGCAACAGTATTATTAACTGTCATTAGTTTTGTGAATTTAGATGATGTCAAAAGTTGAGTCAAAAGCAAGCTACTGAAAGGATTCTTTTTTTTTTATTTGAGTTCTATCATGGAAGTCTACAGCATATTGAGGGATACATCAAGAAACAAATATTAGTGCCATAAGTTTGAGCATTGGAAACCATGGTTCCCCGCCTCTTATGTTTTGTATCTCTCTTTGATACGTTGTTTTTAATTTTTAAGTGGTTATAAAGATTTGCCACTTATCTTTAAGGTACAGTGGATGTCCTTCTCAGAATTGACTCAAAGCTGATACATCTACATCAATCTTCCTTTTTCTATTTTTTTCTTTTTTTTCCTCACATTTCTCACTTCTTTATTCCTTTTCTCTCTCTCTCTTATCTTTAAATTAAGACTACTACATGATGAGTCTGCTTTTATTTGATATTTTATTGAAGCAAACTTTGTAGTGCTGTATGTGAGGGTGTAACATTGCCAGCAATAATAACAATAATAATGATAATTTTTGAACCTAGTACAGTAGTTTCTCTGAGTCTAACCGGCGTTTGAGGTCAAATTCTATTATTATTTTTTTTGTGTGTTTGTAAAACCTGTCTGAAATTTCGATGAATTTCTTTCTTCCTGCTGTAGCATTGAACTCATTTCCTGTGAGTGCATCAACTCGCTTGCAATTTTATCAACTGTAGCTTAAGATTTAATTCCTTACACTTCTTGTGTCTGGTGATTTTTCTTGACATTCCTGTTTGTTTATTTTTTTTTAATGTGTGTTTTATTCTGCTTTCCCTGTGGCTGTGTAGAAATTTCCAAAACTGTATTGGTTGTTTTGCTCTGTCTTTTCTTCTGAATTTGTTATTTTATCATCCTGTAACACAGCATTACTAGAAACATCAGTTGTCAGATGTTGCCGTTTCTTTATTCTTAGATGTGCCTGGCATTTCGATATTGTGTATGATAATGTAAATTGAAGCCCATATGAACATGTATATTTTCTTAATTGTTGTACATAATGTGATACATATAGACAGGTAAAACAAATTTTCAGTGTTGTTGATTGTTATTGGCTTTGTGTGAAAGAAAGTCCTGAGCAACATACTACACATTCCATACTTAAAAATTCAAATTCCAGAGTGGTAACCAAAATTTGATCGGGTGAGCCTGACCATCATGCCAAAATGGGTTAGGTTGGAATTATGTGGCCTGCTGATCAGAGGGAAACAAATGCAAAACATTATTTTATTTGTAATTTGTTTCTGTAAATTTGTATTTGTTTGCCTCTGATCATTGTGCCACTACAATACACTAGGTATTCATTTCAGGTTTGGAAATCCTCTGTAATAAATAGATTGCTGTTTATTTAAAATATTTGTTTTGTTGACTTTGGCTTCTTCTTAGCACCGGTTCCACAAACTACATGCATTTTACACTGAGAATAGTGCAAAGTAATGATTGTGATTTAATTGGATGTTTAGTGTGAAAGGGATCTTTAGTTTCTTACCTGTTGTGCAGTGCTTTTTTGCACATGAAATTGTGTTGAAAAAAGCAAATTGTTGTTCACTTTTGAGACTTCCTAAACTCCAAGTGAAGTTAAATAAATTTGTTCTAACAACGAAAACGAATGTCTCCTTTTACTTTCCCGACTCCCCCTCCTAAACGTACCAAACTGTTACCCCAAGATGAAGGGAATGGAAAAAGCACGATTCATTCGCTTTGTAATTACAATAATTTATTGTATTCGCGTTCAAGATTTTCGCCCGGCCGATCGGTGACATGGCCCTTGAAAGACACATCTTCATCAAAACATACTTGTGACGCACTCAGTACAAAACGTAACAAAATATGGGGGCTCTGCTGGGCGTTGGCGCCTTTTACTCACGGAGAGGACGATAACGATAGGGCTGATGGCACACGTCAACGTCAACGGAATCACAGTTCAGTCACAGTAGAATCACAGCTGGCTGAGCGTAGCTGAGGGGGTACGTACGACCCGCTGGGCCGGCCGGCCGGCCACCGCTCATGTCCCTTCTTCTCCCTCCGTACAGGGTCACTACTCTAGCCCAGCCCCACCTGCTCTAGGACTCCAGGCCCTCGGCTGCCGCGGCACTCATGGCTCAGGGCAACGTGACGCCCGGCCAGGGAAGGCCCCCTCCCCTCAGACAGAGTCGGTCACCACGCTGAGCAAGGTCTCACTGCCCTCGCCACCCAGGGCGGCCTGGATCATCTTGTAGACCTCGTCGGCGTGCCCCAGCCGCCACTGCACGTTGTTGCGCGCGTTCTCCAGGCCCTGCTTCACGGCCTGGTCGGCGTGCGTCAGGTAGTCGCTGTTCTTCTTGGTGTACTCGACAAGCTAAAATCGAATAAATCGTTCACATTTTAGTGGGGGCTTTTTTCTTGGGGGGTGGGAGGATGCATGCGTCCTCGCGTTTTCTTTACCTGCTGGTATTCTTCCTCGGTGTTCATGCGGTTCGCTATCGACGACACGTAGCGGCCGATCCTGGTGGTGCTGGTCCCGTAGCTGAGGAACAAGGAGAACGTTTTAGTCGTGTTTCGCTGCATTTTCTACTTGTTTCTGTCCGGCCGTCTGGCGGGCAGGCGAACAGGTGGGCGCCACTTACTGCTTGGCGATGGCCTTGGTGCGTCGGTATAGGAAGTCCCTGGCGAGGGGGTAGCCCGCCTCGGTGCTGGCCACGGCGGAGAACACGTAGAACGAGTCCTGGAGGCGCACGCCGGAGGCCTCGTTGATGCCCCACTCCAGGTACCTGGCGGCGACGGAACGGTTTAGACGGCGACGGTCGAAATGCGACGAAAAGCCGAACGCCGCTCTCATGTCGCGGAGCAGAAAGCTGTCGACTTACCTGCGCAGCACCCAGTGGTCGCGCGAGCAGCCCAGGGCGCTGAGGATGGTGACGCGCGCCGAGGCCACGTTGGACTTGAGGTAGCGGTCCCACAGCCAGATCCAGTCCTCGGACTTGCCGTGGCGGATGGCGTAGCAGTACACGAGCGAGCGCTGGTCCTGGGGGATCCTGCAACGACACAGCACACGGCGTGACTCATCGTGAACGTGCGCCAGTTTCTGAAGATCGCCAATTCCCTGCCTCACTCACGGGTTGTTCTTCTCGGGGTCCGGGGTGGCGCGCCACTGCGCGAACAGTTCCCTCGTCTGCTCCAGGCAGTCGCCCACCTCCATCTTGCAGGACCAGCTGGTGATGAGGTTCTTGAGCTTGCTGGCCGTGAAGTCAGTGACGGCGTCCCGGATGCGGCCCTGCTTCTCGAACACCGGCCGCAGGATTTGGCTCACCCATTCCTGCAACGAGCAGCAAACGGATCCGGTGTTGACCGAGCTGGTCGGCAAGCTGGGCGCTGGGCATGCAGAACGCCGCGGGGGTAGGCCGCGCGGGCGGGGGAGCACACGGCTGTGTTGCGGGGGGGCCTATCCCACGCTCCGCAGGCGCTCCCTCTCGCGCCTTCTGAGCGGCGCGTGAGTTCCCACTCACTCACCCTGAAGAAGTCGTAGTACAAGTCGTTGCGCAGCAGGTTGTCGATGCGGCTGAGGGCGCCGAGGGCGACGCGCCAGGGCTGGTACTCCTCCTCCAGGTGCAGGCTGCTCACCAGCTCAAGCGGCACGGCGTACTTGAGGCGGTCGGTCTGCGCCAGCTCGAACGCGTCGTCGAGCACCTGCGGCAAGGGGGAGCCTCAAGATGAGCTTCTCAATTCCAAACTCGGAAATGAAACACAAAGAGTCGGCGATGGACCCCTGATGGACCGGACCTGCGCCCTGCCGACGACGCCGATGGCGTTGCGCTGCTTGGGGTCGGCCAGCGCCGCGGCCAGCAGCCGCCAGTTCTCCTCGTCGTACTGCACGCGGTAGGCGCCGCCCATGTTGACGTTGAACAGCACCCACTTGTCCTTGGCGGGCAGCCCCGCCACGGTCTGGCCGATCTGGCCGGCCTCGTCGCGCTGGCAGCGCAGCCACTCCTGCGGCGCGTGGGTCGCGGAGTCGGCGGCGTCCTTCAGCGCCTTGGCCGTCTTGGCGGCGTCCGGCGCCGCGATGAAGCTCAGTGGCACGTACCAGCACTCCTCGGCCGAGTGCTTCTTGCTGGAGAAGAAGCGCTCCTGCGCGGCCAAGAGCGAAAGATGTTTAAAGTCGGGCAAGAGATTGACGGGAGTGGGGTGCGTGGTGGCCGCGTACCTGCGTGACGTTGGCGGTGTTCTTGTCGTAGTCGCGGCGCACGGTGACGACGGGGAAGCCGCTCTGCACCGTCCACGTGTCCATGACGCGCTTGACGGTGAGGCAGGCGGGCAGCGAGCCCTCGCGGTGAGCCTCCTCAGTCAGCCGCTCCCACAGGTCGTCCTGCTCCGCGTTGCCGTACGCGTGCTGCTTGAGGTAGCGGGACACGCCCTGCTTGAAGGCCTTCTCGCCCAGGAACGAGTGGATCATGCGCAGCAGCGCCGAGCCTGCGGCCGGCAAAGGAAACGGGGTTAAGACCCTCGACGGCGACGTGCTGGACGTCCTCGCCGACGCGACGCGGCCACGCGCGGACTCACCCTTGCGGTACGTGATGGTGTCGAAGCTCTGCGAGATCTGGCGGCCGTGCTCGATGGGCCGCACCACGGGGTGCGTGGACTCCAGGGCGTCTAGCGGCAGCACGCTCAGGGCCTGCGACACGGCCGTGTCCTCCATGAGGCGCCAGTCCGGGTGCAGGTGCGCCGTGCCCAGCGCCGCCATGTACGTGGCGAAGCCCTCGTTGAGCCACAGGTCGGACCACCACTTCATGGTGACCAGGTTGCCGAACCACTGGTGGGCCAGCTCGTGCACCACCGTGTTGGCCACGTGCGCCTTGGACGACTGCGACGACACGGCGGGGTCGTACAGCAGCTGGGCCTCCCTGGAAAGGAAGGGAAGGGACCGTTTGCCATTGTCCTCGAACACACACACCATGACGTCCCGCGCGTGACGCACCTGTACGTGATGAGGCCCCAGTTCTCCATGGCACCCGCACTGAAGTCTGGGATGGCCACCATGTCCTGCTTGGGCAGCGGGTACTTGATGTCGAAGTACTCCTCGAAGAAGGCCAGGGCCTTGGGGGCGATGTCCCTGGCGTACGCCATCTGGCCGGCGGCGTCGCGGCGGCCCCAGATGGCCACGTCGGCGTGGCCCTCCGAGTGCTCGGACTTGGTGACGTAGAAGTCGGACACGACGACGGCCACAAGGTAGGTGGACATGGGCACGGTCTTGGGGAAGTAGGTGTGGTTGAAGCCCTTGATGGAGGCGCTGCAATCAAGTGGGAGTCAGTGTTCAGTGTCGTGGGAGTTTATGGCTATGTCACCAATTACAGCCTCCTCAAAGAGGAAGGAGGGAGGCACCGCCACGCCAACCTCTCTCACAGTGCATACTCACTGGGGCCCGGTCTTGGAGGCCGGCATGTTGCTGAGCGCGGTGAGCGCCGAGTTGTGGCCGATGTCGATGGTGAAGGTGGCCTTGAACTCGGGCTCGTCGAAGCAGGGGAAGGCCCTGCGAGCGTACGTCGCCTCGAACTGCGTCACCGCCAGCCACCTGCAATGGAGGGCAGCGTTGTCAGAGCCGTCAAGCCGCGGAGACATCTTTATGTCGGGCCGCCTCTTACCTCTTGGTGTTGGTGGCCTCGTCCAGGTAGGACGACCTGTACAGGCCGTGGAGGTCGTCGCCGAGCTTGCCCTTGAAGGCCACCTTGACGACGTACTTCTTGTGCGGCGCCAGCTTGTCTCCGAGCTCGATGCGCAGCTGCTCCATCTCCACGTTGAGGCTCTGGGCCTGCACGGGCACCTCGCGCTCACCCTCGGCCTCCACCACGCGGACGGGCTCCACCTCCAGGTCCAGCGAGTGCAGATAGATCTTGTTCGTCGGCTCCGTCGCCTCCACCTGGGCACACATCACGCGAGTGTCACGTTGAAATCCAGTGATCCAACCGAGGCGCCGCGCAGCTGCACGCCAATCTCACCAAAATGTCGACGTGGCCCGCGAAGTCGAACTTGCCGCCATCGCCGATGTTGATGTCGATGCTGACGTCGTAGTGCTGCGGGAAGACGTCCCGGCGCAGGCGGTACTCGGGGTCGAAGTGCTCGGGCAGCCGGTCCACCGTCCACAGGTTGGCGGGGCACTTGTTCTGCTCGGGGGCGGTGGTGGTGGGGGCCCCGGTGGGCGAGGCGGCGGTCAAGCCCACGCCCGGCGAACGGCCTGCAAGTTGTCGTAGGTGCCTGCAGCAGCCACGCGTACTCGGGCGAAATAGCGTCCAGCTGAGCCAAAGCGTGATTGGCGAAGGGCAGGGATTTCGCGTGAAGTGCCGGTTTAGAGGGTCAGGGCGGTGGTCGGAGCACGAGCCCAGCAGCGCCTCCCGCATCGACCGGCAGCCCGGCACGGAGGGGCGAAGGGCGTTCGGGGCAATCGCAATGCGACGTCGGCGGTTTCGGGTCGTCGCCGACACTCTTCCTCGCGCTCCGCCCCGTCCAGCCCCGTCAGCCGCCCTCGTCCGGCGGACCCTCCCGGCCTCCAGGCTCCGGCAGGCCCGGACGCCCGTGCTAAGTCCTGGTAACCCGGTGCCAGTGCGATTGACGTGTCACAGTGGACGGACAAGGGACGGTGGCGCGGTGGACGTCCGCGTCATGCACTCCGACCGCCACCAAGTCCGGCCGTCGGCTGTCGCCCGACGTCCGTGCCACCGTGCGCTAGGGCCGGTTCTCTCCGGAGGCTCAGCGTGCGCCGCTGCGCCAGACAGCCAGTCTTTGAAGGAGTCGGGCCTACGACAAACCTTCCTGCTTTCAGACTGCCCGCCGGCGAGGTGGCGATTTGCGACGGCTTGGGTTACATCGGAGCCGACATCGACAGCGTCCCCGTGTGCGGCCCCTGTGTGTTGCGGGTTTGCCTGGCGCGACCTGACCCACTGCAGGTCCGGACCAAAAAGAAGAGGATGGCAAAAGTTTCTCTTTTGTGTGTCTTGGATGACTCGAGAGCGGGGCGTGACACGACCCGTCTGCTGTGTGGCGAATTTAGGGGCCGGCCGAGTGCGTCTCGTTTCCGGTGGCAGTGGGTCAGGCAGGTGTCGTCCGTCCTGACGGCCAGCAGACTGATTCCGAGGGTCGTTATCGTCGCTCTGTCTCCGTCCCACTCATGGGGCGTCCCGTATAGGTGCGAGAGAGACGGGGCGACGAAAACGACTCTGCAGCCAGCCAGTGAGGTGTCACCGCGGTGCCCACGGTGCGTAACGGGTAAGGTCGGCACGGTCCAGCAGGCTGGCTCCGCAGTGATTCGTCGCTCTGTCTCCCTCGCACTCCCGCGGGACGTCCCGTGAGTGCGAGAGAGACGAAGCGGCGAGTCGGGTTCGATTGGTCGCGGCGACCGCCGCGTGCAGCCCTTCCGTTTCCGAGTAGATGGCGCCAAATCGGCCAAATCGGCGACGCCAGCGCCAAACCGCGTGCGCAGTGCGGCCGGCGGTGAAAGCTGCGGACCGCTGCAGACATGACCAACGAGCTCCAAGACGACAGACGACCCGGTCCCCGGTCCCCGCGAGACTAGACGGACTTGACTGGCTCCTGTTGCTCCAACCGTAGCGAGATATCGGAGGGGAAGACGGATGGCTCGGCTTCCAATCTGGTTCCTACGGGCCGCCGCGCCGCCGGGGCGCTAGAGATGTTACGCGGGCACTTCCTACATTGCCGGACCGGAAGCAACCTTCCGCTTTCTGGGCGTTCTGGACAGCACTGGGTCAGTGTCACCACCGCCACCACCAACGCCACCACAGTGGGGTGGAGGCCAGGCGAGGGCCCATCGGCCGGACGCCGGATTAATCCAGCCAGCTCTGTTCTGTAGACCGTTTCCGAGAGTCGCTCTGTCTCTCTCGCCCCTACACAGGATGCCCCATGAGTGCGACAGAGACGGAGCGACGAAAGCGGCCCTCGGAATGGGTCTGCTGCCCGAGAAGCCAATGGCGAAGGGGAATGACCAGAATGACCAGCCATCGCTTTCCGATGCCACCCGCAATCCACAATCGCCCCGATGCAGTGCTCCTTCCTCGTCCCCAGCGGTGGGAATGATTCGCGAACTAACCTTAAAAATAAACGGGACCCCAGAATGTGGACCCCTTGCTGGTCTCGACAGGACCAGAACTTGGTGGCGATCTGCTGCGACGAAATGCCCCCCCCCCCCTCCCCCGGGTGGACTCATCGACTCATCGCGCCTTGTTTGCGCTGAGTCCGTCTTTACGGCCCGCCTGGAAGGCACACCTGGAAGGCACACCTGGAAGGCCCCAGCCCCCCACCGCCTCCCCTCTCTTTTTTAATCATTCCCTCCGAGTTGGCGCCGAGCCATGTGCCTTCGCATGTGGGAACAAGTACAAGGCAGACGGCGTGGCCCCCCTGGGAAGGGGGGGGGGGAGTGAGGGGGCACTGCGACACCGGCGTTGTAAAGTAAAGAACGGCCTGGCCTGCAGTCCGCAGGCGCTGTGAGGATTTCGTCGATCCCGATGAGCGGGAAACCGGCGTTGGCGTTCTCCAAGGAAGGTGATGGGTAACGCGCAGGCTGAGGCATAACGCAACACTTGACCGAGAAGTGCTCGTAAACGATCTTACTTTGCGCGCTGGCCGCGCGCGAGGCACTCTCAGTGCCGTAGACAAACTCAGCGCACGAAAGGAAAGGTGATTCGCCGCAGGCGAGGCGAAAACCAACACTTGACCGAAGTCTCTCACCGATGGTTTTTGCGCGTGGGGCGCGGGGCGCTCTCGTGCCGGCCTGGGCGCCGGAGTCTCTTCGCCGCGCCACTGCCCCTTTTGACCCAGGCCTCACCCGGTGCCCGCGTCGGCGCACGCGCCTCGCTCCGGCCGGGGAGCCGGAGCTCTCCCCCGGGCGAAACGCCCGCCAGGCCTCGACCACTGCCCCGCGCTGGAGGCGGCCTCTCCGGCGGCCTGGAGGCGGCCTGGAGGCGGCCTGGAGGCGGCCTGGAGGCGGCCTGGAGGCGGCCTGGAGGCGGCCTGAGGGAGGGAGACGGCCGCCTGGAGCAACCTGGAGCCTGGAGCAGAGACTCTGGAGGCTGCAGCTACAGCGAGTGTGTTGCCCCTTTCTCCCCCCGCTCGGCCGCCCGGCGGACTCCAGACTCCAGGCTCCAGCGGGTTACCTGGAGACAATGACCGATAAGCCAGGCTGGAGGTGTCCAGCCGTCCGCGCCGCGGAGGAACGGTGTCGCTGGCCGTCCGCCAAATGGGCCGAATTTCGAGTCTGACGCCAGGCGAGACGGAGTCGGCCTGCCGCCAGCCCGCCGCGCTGTTTCGGGCGACGCGGCGTTTCAGAAAGGGCTGCCCGGGGTGGGGCCTTTGGGGCCTTAGGATTAAAGACCTGCTTGTGGCTGAATCGCCGTCCGCGGCCGTTCGCGGTGCCAGATACGCTGTCTAGTTGCCCCCGTGTCCCCGCGGCGCGGCGTTTCCACGGCTCGCCCTCCCACGTCCTCCCCTCCCCCTCCGGTCACACTCCGCGGCAAGGGTCGCAAGGCGGGCAAAGCAAGGAGCCAAGGTGGCCAAGGTCAGCGTGCGGCCGTGCGGCTGCAGTGGCGGAGGGAAGCTCCGGGGACAACGGGGAGACAAACAACGTTGCTATGGATACGAAGGTCTTCCCTGCCGCTCCCGCCCCTCGCGCGCGCGCTTCCACCTCCAGCGGCCCTTGTTTAGTGTCGTGGAGACAAGGCGACAACGCGAAGGTGGCGTCTCGAAGGACGAGTCTCCATCTCCAGCGTGACCCATCTGTGAGAACTAAAGAACGCATTCTATATGATACTGTGGTGGTTGGGCCGACCTCGTTTGCAGACCCAAGGCGCGAGCCACGAGAGTCGAACGAACCGACCGGCAGCAGGGAATCCCCATCCCCAGACGAGAGCGGAGTGCTCGACATCGACATTGGTGATTGGTGGCCCGGCCCGACGTCGTCGGCCCGTCCCGACCGTCCCGACGTTCACGCTGTGACTGGCTGTGACCCGAATGCGGTGCACTTGGTTCTTCGGCAAGAGCTGGAGACAAATCCCGTTCTTCTTCTTTCTCCCTCCCTCCCTCCCATGGCGGTGCAGCTGCCTACCTGCCAGGCGGCGCGGTCTCCTGCGTGTCACTACACTGGTTCGCTTCGGTTCGGCCAAACAACTCGTTGTCGCGGTGGGCCCAGCTGCCCAGTTCGGTAGTGTCGCGCCTAGTCGGGGCGGGGCGCGGAGCGGGATGGGACGCGGGAGACCTGACGCCACAATCTCCTCCAATCGTGTTTTTCCACCCCGTGCCGTTAAGACCTGTGCGCCTCGCACCCGCTGCTTTAGATGTGGGACAGGTATTGTCTACATCGTGACTGGTCTTTTAACTTTGAGCTGCTCTGAGTTGCTCTCATGCTGGAGATTCAGAGTCTCGTTCTCCGACAAAAATAAAACCGTCTCATGGGAAGAGGGGAATAAATTAAACAAACACTTTCAAGCAGTGCATTAAAATGGTGTGTATTTGAATTTATGTACAAAAACAACAGCAAATAACAAAACATCTTAATGCTCATATAATTTATGACTGAAAATAAATTAGGTAGTGAAGCACCTCACAAATCAAGGGACGTTTTGATCCCCTTTTGTTTATACAAAGACACTGATGAAAATGGAGGGTTTAATTAAAAGGCCTTTCACAAAAGCCAAAGTCAATCAGAGGTGTTCAACAACCTTCTTGTTCTTAGTGCTAAAGTTTACAGGGTACTGCTCCACAATCCAATCCAGTGCTTCCAACATCACAATGAAAGTCATTAGGAACAAAATTAAGATAAAAATTGTAACAAAGACCACACAGCAAAGATTAGTGGCATGTTCCAAAAGAGACATTTCCTACTGTTTGGTTGGTAAAACCTAAAATAAATAATGTCTAGACTTAAATATTTTAATCACAGCTGAATATTACTAATATAATACGATGCAAGTACCAGACAGCATACGGTGCCACAGAAACAAGAGGAGGCTTTAGTCTGTTTCTAACACAACCAACAAAATGCTGACGACACAACATCAATCATTTTGTACATAATACTTGTGCAAGTCAAAATGTATGGTGTTTAATAAATTCATTAAGTCACTTACAAAACAAATGAAAAACCAAACTTTGAATGGGGAACAAATAAAATGACATATTACTTTATCAAGCATTTTTGATAAGTCTGAAAAGATAAAATTGAAACCTAGCGCACATTCAGCCACTTCAAACAGTTCATGAGAAAAACATTGTAGTTGATATCATGAAACTAAAAAATGTGTTCAAAAGTTTCCTGCTTCTTTTCATGAATCCTTCCCTATTCTGACAAATTTCATTTAACTGACAGCAAAACATCAGCTCCATATTTTGTCTGTTGTTTCCGTTACAACAGTTTGTAGAGAAATCACCTTCAAACACTGCCATTCATTTTAACTCCAACCTAATAAACATGCGCTTTAATAAAAACAGACTTAATATAAACGTTGGGCAACAATACTTTGCCAACAGGGAACAGCTAATGGCACATTTTACTTTGTATCATTTTGGACGAAAGTAAATCACAATTTCGACACTCTGGAGATACATTATCACATTACCACAAGTAGCACAAAAAATCCGTCCTCCTTGACAAGAACAACATACCCTATCCATTGAAATGAAATTGGGCAAGTGTCACTTGGTTCATAAGAGAAACATTATCAAGGAATGGTAATACCTGGGGAAAATATTTACCTCAAACAATGAAAATTTAAGCATACAGCCATAAAATTATAAATAAAGGAATAAAGTAACATCTCAAAATGTCTTAAGTGTCAGGATGAGGATGGAATCAAGTTCACATAAACAATTAAAATTGCTTTTCTTGGTTTTTAAGAGGAGGGAGACAACTAGTTTCAAAATGATCATAACAAAACAAGGACAGTCCACTAAAACCAAAAAAAAAAAACCATACACACATAAATTGGAAACTAAATAAAAGTATAAAGCAATATCAATCGATTGTAACTTAAACCACTGGAGCTGTTTATCATTAAAGCAAAATTGACAACAAGTTACAGCTCTAGATACTTCCTATCATCCTCGTCAATACAAGCAAATACATACTTGATGTACTTTCAGTAGAATTTCAAAGAAGAGAGATGGTCATGAGCTGTATAAACAAAACCACTATCACAGAAAACCATTTTCTACACAAAGAACATCTTGAGTAGAAACTTAACAACAGGAAAAATAAACACATCAAAACAAGAAAATGATCGTTATGACCCGTCCACTTTTACCTAAAAAATAAAACAAATAAAAAATGTACAAGAAGATAATATAATTTTTGTGTTGGAGGAATTGAAGTTCATGCAGAAACAAATCTTCAAACTGTCAGCGTTAACTGAGACTGGACATAATGAGGTACTGTACTATGATTTTGACACAAAAACTATTCGCATGGCCTAATTAATGAAGAACATAAGCACAACACCAAACACTTGTACTTTCATTCCAAATGTCTTGGCTTCTGATACATACAATGCATTGGACTTGACTACATCTTGTGGAGAAACATGAACATTTGCTAGGCATTACTTATTATGCAGCTATGGTAGTAAGTACCAGCTAAGCTTACTGAGAAACCTAGTCTGATAAGAAATGCATTAAATACTTTAATTTCCCAAACATATTGCTACAGCAATTGAAACCCAGAGAGAGTGCTACCACATATTAACTTGCACTCGGTGGCAACATACAGCACTTTTTGATGTCAAAATTCATCCTTTAATAGAAGACAAACAAACAAGACTAGAATGTTACACACTGATTATCATTTTTAAGACAATGACCTAAGGAAAATAAGAACACACCAGCGCTAAAAATGACTGAGAGACTAAAGTAAACAGGCTACCTATGCTGTAAGACTAACATATGATCTAAAATATGTACAGAAAATGTACAAATAGTTTCTAACAACTCTACACAAAATAGTCAGCAACTACTACAAGAAATGTTTAAAGACTTCTCAATTTCTCTAAGGTTCTCCATGATTATCAAGCTATTTGTGCCTATCATATTACAGATACACTTCCATACCACTGAGATGCTCACACATTTCACATAAAAAAATAATAATAAAAATTGCTAAATGCATGGCTCTGAAAATATGCAGTTTGAATCATCCATAAGCATGAACAAGAAGGACTTTCTTTCTTCCACACGGAGTCTTGCATGATAAAAGCAACCAACTCATTATGCACCCACTGTCATATCAAATCATTGACATACTGAAAAAGGCATTGCATAGGTGCAAGAAAAGTGCACTATAAAAAGGGGACCAACAGAGGCAGTCAATTCAAAATTACAGCAGTTCATAGCACACATTTCTCTCATCTTTGTTCCCTGTTTTAACAAAAACTGTGGCACAATTCAAATCCAAAGGTATGCTCATGAAAAGGGAATGTATGTACATAGTGATTAGAGACAAAAGAACAGTTTATGCATCAATCACTCCCACAATGAACTGTGAAGATTCACATAAATAATAATAGAACAAGGAGGAGAAGAATAAGAATAAGAAGAAATAGAAAGGAAAACTAAGGCAGCACTTCATTTCTAATTTTTTGGCAACAGAGGGGCAGAGAACTTTTTACTGAGGAAGAAACACAGAGGAACAAAGGAAGATGACAGAGTTAGCTCTAAGGACAATAAGGATATGTGTGTACAATGCCACTTTCTATCAAATGAACGAATGAAGCTGTTTTAAATTAACTAAACTGAATGCCAACATTAACTTGATTAATAATAATCTAATAAAAAAGAAACTCCTTTATGAAACTACAGTCTACAGGAAATCTGTTTTTTCAATGATGATCTTTATGTTTAACACCAGGTGAACAAGTACACAGTTCAAGGGGATATAATGGGTATAAACATGGTTCTTGCTCGGCTTTAGGTGAGTAGCAGATAAATTTGAAAATTCGTTCATTGAGTTAATTTGTAAAGGTACAATTTTATGACAGTCGCAAAATTTAATTCAAAGAAAAGGAATCCACTTTTACTTTGATTAATTGGACCCATTAAAATTCTGTAGCATAGCTCATTCACAAGGAGTTTCTGATAAAGACGGATAGAGAGGGCGAGAGAAACTCAATATGATTGTTACAAATTATTGTGTCTATGGAGCAAAAATGAAAAGTTAATGAGACTAGAAAGATTGAGTCAATCAGGTGGCTCCAAGAGCAGCACAGAACATCCTAGGACTAATGACCAATTCTGATGTTATTAAAATTTGTTTAAAAAAAATGCACCACAATTTTTACATCTAAATTTTTAAAATAAACATCAGGGAAGAAAGATAAATTAACTTCATAAGAAAAACCACATTGTAAACAACATTATTGCAAGAGTGTATCCATTGTAGACAACATAGTATAAAATATATACACTTCACACTCCTGGGAGAAGGAAAACAACTTTCATAGAGAGAAGCTTTTTTTCTTCTGCTCACAACAGTTGCACCATTGAGTGAATTGTAGCATTTCACACTGAGAAGCAGGCAGGGAGGAAACTGGCTGGTATTCTGCAATCAATTTTACTTTCCTTTGGAAGATGACCTACTTGTAGTTCCTACTGAGCTAAGGTTTTCTCCTCTACTTCTGGAGCGATGAAGTGTGGATAAACCTTCACCTGAAAATGAAGTGTTTATTCGAAACCACATCTATGGCTTAAAAACCAAGTTGCATCAAAAGCAGACGGCCCACTCACCTCGACTCGTACTGTGTTTGAGAGAACCAGCATTGGATGAAAGATCCCCATGGCGCATGGCACGCCCTCTTCTATCTTGAATTAATTTATCTGCTCTAACAAAAATTCCATGCTTTGGCCGACAAGTGAAGTAACGTACTCCTTGCACAGTACCATCATTCTTCCCTGTAAAATATGAATATTCTAATGTTTCGTACAACATATGGAAGTTTCACTGTAGCAATTTGACATATTCATGATAGCTTACCTGTGGGTGCATCGAGGTCTACACCAACCCAAGTCCCATGAGAGAATTCTGTTGGTCCAACAAAAGCAACAACACCTGTTGAATTGTAAGGCCGAATGATGACACTCTCGCCAATAAGAACCCAGTCTGGGATTGGTGCCTCCGACAGCCGGTGGAGGTCTTTACGAGAACCGTACATGTCACCTTCATCTGCAAACAATAAAAATACAGTACTTGCAGAAATTTTCAACCAACATGTGTTGAAATTCTTCTGAAACATGTACTGACCATCGCCTGAAAGCTTTTCCATGCTGGAATTTTTGTCACCATTCATATTTTGAGGAGAACTTGAAGAAAATAAGCTTTGTTCAAGTTTCTCTGCAGATTTACTGTCAGAAGTTTGGGGTCTAGCGATGGGGAATGATGCTCTATGGTTCTGATTTGATGAGCGATTTGGTGTTTTCTTCCTTCTTACCACCTACAGAAAAATTGCAACCACCATTAATTAACAGTCAAATGCTGTCAAACAAAACCTCAAATTTCATAGTTTACAAGTGTGTTTACCTTTCCAGGTGGGAGGGCAGTATGAACAACAGATGTGCCCTCATAGGGGGAGTCTTCATCACAAAAGCTTGCTGACTGACTGACAGACATGGAATCATTCTCATTAACATCACAAGAAGGATCAATGACTTCTTCTGCATCTTGATCATTCTCAGGACTTGTTGATGGAACCACATCGGATTGGTTCGTGTTTGATTTCACATGATTTGAAGCTGTTACTTCTGACAAAGGGGGTAGCTCTACAAACACAGGTCCTCGAGCTGATTCTGTATCAGGAGTATCATCAGCACTGATACTTTTAATTGAGACCGAATCTTCACTCGATAAATTGCTTGAAGAAACTGCTTGCGAGCCGTACCCACTAAAAATAACAAAACATATAAATTAAAACAGAGGGGAAAATTAAACAGCCTGCATTTATGAAGAAAATATTTTACCTTGAGCTTGAGCTTGGAGTCCAGATTTTTCCTGACTGTAATTCAACAATAGAATCAAGTGTCCGTGAGCTTGGCATTACTTTGCATGCTTTCTGGTCTAGGCTGCCTGATTTAACCTAATGTTGACAGCAGACATGGAAAAGAAAAAAAAATGAGTTACCAACCTTTGCTTAATTTCAAAATAATTGTTTTTATACACACAAACACTCACACACACAAAAGAAACAAAAAACAAAAACAAAAAAAACAACATACCTGGTAAGAATCTAGCTCTGGCTCACTCAAAGTACCAATGTCAGCATCCAAGAGATTTTCGCTGCTGGCAGCCCCAGAGGAAATAGTGTGCTCCTGTTTACTATTATCTTTCACATCAACCATTTCATTGCCTTCTTCCTCCTCAATGCTGTTGTCATGATCAGCTCTCAGTTCTGATGCAACTCCAATCAATGTTTCTACTTCAGCATCTGTCTCCTGTCCTAAACTTTCCACTGATTCAGACTGCGTTCCATCAACATCACTTTGAAGATTGAGCTCATCGTGATTTGGATCAACTTGAGTCACTAATGTTGGTTCTTCAATGCGACCTTCAGCAAGTACCTGTGTTTTGGTACTAACTTCTTCATCGTCATCCTCATCACAATCTTCTTCATGAGGAGAGATGTCAAGAGCCGTTGATGATCCTAATTGCTCTTCATGAAGAGTTGTCAACTTGGTGTTGGGCGAGGCTGCAACAAGAAAAAGCAACATAAAAATGTGGTTTTCACAAGTTTAGAAGTGCACTGCACTTTGCTACAATGGCTTGGGTGCAGGCGTCCATAGTTAACACAAACAATACATCCATTCCATTTCAAAGAAAAAGGAATAATAGAGGAATACAAAAAGAAAACAAGCATGAAATCATAAACTCAGTGAGGCTTGGACAATAAAATACCTACACATTCAAAAAATAAAAACATTAAACTTAGGTGGAGGATAGAGAGGCAGGTTCTCACAAAACGCAAACAAATAAAAAATTTGTGTATCAAACTAAAACTACAGAGTTCTCAAAAGAGTTACTGTTTACAGGAAAACAAGAAATCCACAACATACACTTAGATCCAGGCTGCAGCCGCAATGTGTTTAGATTGATGTTGAGATTGAGGAATGTAGGGCGTGCTGAAATAGATAGGTAGAGCAGGTTAGAGACAAACACCACCACCAGTGCACAAAAAAGCCATCATGAACCCTGAACTGAAGCTTTTGCACAGACTTTATTATTACTAAGATGATAGCAAGAAAGTTATCTCAAAATCATCTCTTGTGTCTCTCTTAAAGATAATAAGAACAATAAAAAGGGAAACTCCTGAATAAAAACACATCGAATCAGCTGAACATAAATACCTAGATAAAACCTTTCAATTAACTACACTCGCAGGGTTATTAGAAGCCTACTTTATTAATATTATTATTTAAGTTGCAACAACATATTTGAGACACTAATGAGAACAGACCCTTGCAAGTAACTGTAAACTAAACCAACAAAATCTAGAATTTTGAATAATTTGAAGCACACCTAGAAGTGCTAGTATCTAATTGTAGTCCAAAAGTAACATAAGATAGGAATTTCTAAATTCTGGTACTCCAAAAAATTAGAAGCCTTACAGGTTTTTGTAGGTTGCTGGTATTTACAAAACAGTTCCATGCAAAGGTTTAGATTCATGCCAGTTGAACATAAGTCATTCTATTATCTATCACTGTGCCAATAGAGTACTCCAAACAAGCTCTGGCCCGGAAGAAGAAGAACAAAAACGGAAGTAAGAAATTGCAGTTTCTATGAGAAATGTACGCTGCGCATGAGGGTCCGCAGCGTATATTTCTCATAGAATTTGCAATTTCTTACTTCCGTTTTTGTTCTTCTTCTTCCGGGCCAGAGCTTCTTTGGAGTACTCTATACTGCACTTGCTACCATAAGACATTTTCAGTGGAGTCAGGATAAGCCTCTTCATTTGGCATCAAATGATTCCCAGCCCAGCATTCTTAAGGAGTTTTTAAATAGTAAAACAAAGTAAGGCCTGAATTTTGATTTGGAGAGGTTCTTGAAACAGAATTGAACTACCTTAAATGAACCATTATGGTTCAAGTTCATCACCCAGATGAGGAAACATTCAATATCCTCACAATGTTAAACCCTAGGCATGATTAGTTATCAGTAGACACACACATACATACAATCTTACAGATTATTACTAATATTGTTCATGCATTCACATATCACAATGTTAATACAGACATTGTTCCTACTAGGCAATCTGCTATGAGAGGTTCACACAGAAAACTGTTCCTGAATGAAAATCAAAGTTCTTAATGATGTGTTGTAAATAAAGGCAAGATCTAAAGGAATTGAATTTTATCTACATTTTGCTAAATATTCCTACTAGCAGTACACACAAATATCTTCCAGCCATGAGGAAGAAGCTTTACAGGCAAGCAGGCAAGCCAGCTGTGCAGCATAATAGGCCATGCAGAAATACCAACACCAAAATGCAATCAGTACTAGCCTAAATATGTACACAAAAGTCAAGACAAGATATCCTCTGAAGAGAGATAATAATCAACACGAATATCAGGCAAATTTAAGACCACAATAGAATGTATCACCAATCAAATACAGTGCTATTGGAAGAATACAATCTCTTCTTCTTTAACCTCTGACTGCTATGATTTCAAAATTATCAGTTACAGTATTTTACCAACAACTTCTTTTTAATTAACATGAAGAGGCCAGAAAAAGAAAGTGAATCCCAACAACTTCAAAAGCAATATATTTTTACAGAGGTAAACATCATCAAGATTATACAAGTAAGGAAAGCCCAGCGCGTTACCTGACAGAATGGAGCCTACAAGGCAGCGAAACAAAAAACACACCACAATCACATCAGAATAGGAACAACGATTGGAAGGTCAAACTACTGGTAATGTCATATGGGTTGTTATGATAGTAGAAGCTGTATATGGATTCTTTATAAAATTGGTGTATTGTGAGTTACTGGCCTAATCTGCAGGCTATAGGTGTTGGCTATGCTAGCTTAGATCTTCCAAGCTCAGCGCTAATTATATGAAACGGATGAATAAGTGCCATATTTGAAATAAAAACATGAATGATTTCTATCAAAACATGAGAAGTGAGGAGATATTGCATTTGCTCAGTGTAAATTTTAAGCAATGTTTTTCCAAGTTGTGTAGGAAAAAGGCAAGATTTAGAAAGAAAATTTTGGCGTTGCACTGAATTTTTATCCCTCTTAAACTGAATAGATAAGATGAGATTGTACTGTAGAGTATATACAATGCACCTAAAAATACCGAGACCAAATAGGATGGTACTAAATTCCCCAAAAGCAACTGTAAAGAACCACAGAATCCAAAGTTCGACTGTTCAAAGAAACACTATTGTGTTAGAATATTGCTAAAAAACAATACGGTAGTATGGAGAAATAATTTAAAAAACAAACAATGCAAAACACCAATTAGAAGAGACATAAAGTGGTTGAAAAAATAAATAAATTCATAACAAAATGTTATTACCAATGGGGACATAATCAAGATATCATAAACTCAATCTAAGGAATGCAAAGGAAAAAGAATTAGGTAAGAAAAAACTCTAAGAGAACTTGGAGGATATGAAAATGAGTCTAGCTGACTGGTGTAAAACCAAAATGCAAGCTTCTTGTGTGAAAATGTAAGGTGTGTAAAACGTTGCATGAGGCACTATGTGGTACAGTACACATAAGAAACACAGAAAGTTAAAACTGTTCACAGTTGCCCCGCACTTATCTCATGATCAGATAATTCCTGCTGATACTAGCAGTTAACATTGATTGAACCCTAGGTTGTTTTCATTGAACAAAATGGAATTGGATGTCCGTTACTAACGAACACTAAAATTAAGCCGCTCAGTTGAAGGCAAGAACGTGGTTCTTCAGTACAACTGTAAGTAACTAACAATCTGTACACAAGAAGCCATTAAACCAACAGACTGCAAAGACTGTTCACAGACGTAGAGCATAGATACAAGTCAGATTTAATGGCAAGTAATGTTATGAAGGCGCATTGATTAATAGTAATGTTTACTACAGCGAAATGTAACATACAACCAAATTTACTGGGGTGATACAAATACTGCAACAATACATACTCTGGCTTAAAACTACTTTTCCTCAGCAAAATCACTTCCCCTTGCTTACTCCATAAGCTCTTTCAAAATTTGTTCCAGAAATTTTGAATCGTTTCAAAGGTCAAATGATCTGCTAATCACTGAGTGGCAATAAATTACTAATCTGTTTAAGTTGACTGCCACACCAGATTAAGATAAGATCTAAACTACAATAGCTAAGACACAATTTATTTCATATGATGATGTACATTGTAACTCATTCCATTATAAGACTAGACAAACAAACAGTTACTGAACTTGTTCCCTAATTTGCAATAAGGTAACCCAAGAATATTACATGATCAGCTCGGCACAGGTAACCAATAAAAACCACAGTACCTACAGAGTCCTCTCTAATCTATCCACTTTGCTAAGAGCCCTAACTGCAGAACTAGACTTTTCGGATTAAAACCAACACAAGGAAGACAGTTGACATTCATTCACAATATAATCACTGAAAATGATTAAGAGCGAGAAATATCTAGAAAAGAAAAGAAACTCACCAATTCCGAATGGTTTGCTGCCCGATGAAGCAAGATGAGCTAGATCCACACTCTCAGACGCACTTCGGACAAAACCACCAAGACTGGACCGATTTAGTGGACGAGAGTCCCTGATGCTAAAGCTGCCACCAGCCAAAACATCAGCAAGGTCTGTAAAGCTTTCAGAGCGAGCAACGTTTCCATCTGAATCCATTCGCATGATCTGCAAGATAAAAGAGTAAAAATCAGTATTACTAACATTGACAATACATTTTTGTAATGCATATACATTGATAAATGTATTTGCAATTGCAATCATTTCCAATGAACCTAAACAAACCTGAGAAAAGTTGGGAACACTACAAGTTTTTCGCATTGACAAAGGTTGTCCTTGAGTGTGGAGCAACTCTTTCACAGCAACATTCTGCCTTAATCGATCAAGGGTCAGTATACTTTCCACAGCACTTACTCCTCTAGTATATTTTTCTAGAAACAAATGATGTAAAAATTTAAATATTGCATATCAGATTACATTTAAAAATAAAAAGAGAGACATGTGTACCAATGTACCAACCAATGTATGTTTCTCCATCGCTAAGAGACGTGTCTTCACCAGAGGCAGCAATCTGTGCAAGTGACTCTCTTTCTTCTAACTCTTCACTTGCCTTGAAGGAACAAATTGCACATATAGAACAATGAACACAGACTTCAACACACAAAAGTAGCAAGACGTTCACTCACCTTTGGAATGTTTGAAACCATTTCATATGTAACACCTGTTCTAGTCAAATAATCAGTTCGTACAATCCTCTTACGGATGCGTTCAGTCAATGATTGGCGCTTGTAAATGTTGAGGCTGAGACGTTTCCTCAGAACTAGATCCATTGGATCAGGATGAGAGAGCCTCACAGTGGTTTTCAGTATTAAATATACTCGCTCATTTGCTACAAGAAATTTAACATCAGCAATCAGGTGCAGTGACACTTAGACATAATTTTATTTTGTTTCAGTTTGAAATTTTTTCAAATTAATTTTTGTGAAATAAATCAATATTTGTTTACCTTCTGTAACTTTATTTAGGTGAACATTATCCTGGATTGATGAGTCCCATGCCGCAACTGCACATACATCTTTTTCCATTCTTCGAATGATAGGTAAACTGTAAAATTTATTTCCCAGTTCTTTGGGCAAAATTGAATTGATTCCTGTAGTAGGGACTTCTTCACCTGACTGACTTGTTGAGAGATCATCAGCTGTAAATTATTAATCAAATCATAGATTTGCATTAAAATTTTTTTTGAAACAAAACAATAAAAAAACCCTGGCAAATGGGGTACAAATTATTTAACAAACCATTTAGATCAAGGAAGAGAACAGGTATGTGTGTTTCCATTCCTGAAGGAGGAATCCAGTCAGCAGGTGCACCTGGAATACCAGATCCAGCAGCTGGAACGAGAACAGCATTCTGTTCCTCAGTTAAACTAACCCACTGGCTCACCAAGCTATGTTCTCTTTCTACATCTTCTTCAGTTTTATCTGGAAAAACAGGAGAAGAAAAAATAAATAAAAGAGGCGAAAATAGGTCAAAGAGTAAATTTTAAATATAAGTGAAAACAGTAACGTACCCTGCTTGTTTATGAGCCGTTGAATTTGCTGATCAAGATACTGACGTCTTCGTAACAAAGCCTCTCCCCATTTTTCTCGTAACACTGCAAGATCTTCTTCCTGATAAGAATCCAGGGCCATTTGAAGTTTAGATCTAAAAATTAAAAAGACCAATTAGTTTTCCACTTTAAAATTCATAGATATACAAGTTTTGCTGTCACACTAGCACAAAAACTAACCTTTTGCACACACTTCCCACAGCAATTGTAACAATGGACTGGCAAATGATTGGAAGAGTTCCGGAATTGTGGACAGGTCGCACTTCTACCAAAACTCGTCGTTGTTGGCCTTGACGAAGCTGGTAGACACCACCAGTCTGAATGTCCGGGCGAGGTAGCACTTCTACAGGAGCATAGTCTCCTGCATCATTTACTTCCTGAATTTCCACCCAAAGTTCTATTTTTCGTGTGAGCTCACTCCACCTGGAATACACGTTTGACAGTCAGTCCTCATGCTAAGAACCTACAAATACAAAATCAAGAGCACACGATTTGCGAAATGGAGAATGTTGACAGCACAATTACCTGTCAGCTAAAGAACGAGCTTTAGCAAGTTGATGCTCAACCTCCCAGCCTGGCTTCGTTCGAGTGTAACCTGCACTTCTATGACCCCAGACTTCGATCGACAGGGCACCTTCTACACATTTCGAGAGAAAGAGAGAGTGAGAGTAAAAGGGAATTAGAACAATATAGAATGAAGCAAATGATAGTGGACACAGAGCGGCAAACAGCCCTTACCTGAACAATGCTCTATAAACTCTTCAGTAATGGGAATTGTGAAGTCTTGGTCATGGTTAAATGTGAAGTTGGAGGGGTCAGCAGAGACCACTTGAACATCTGAGTGATTCCAGAAAGAATATTGACAGAACACATAGTTTGATAATGATGGAGGCAAACCAGTAGCTTGTTTAATAGACACCTGTAACAGAAATGAGGAGTATGTTTTGGGGTTCAAAAAAGAAAAAGACTTCATTGTTGGAATATCAAAGCACAAGCAGAAAACATTAAATTGAATGTAGCTTACTCGACAGGTAATGGTTGATGTTCCATGAACACCATCATCATCTCTTCCACTATCCCCAGAGCACTCTGACCCTGCTTCACAAGTTCTGTCCTGAGGGAATGTTCCACAGATTCTACTGACTTCCACCTGGAAGAATTGTGGGAAACGTTAAGCAGCAACAGGTGAGAAATATTTTCCCTAATGTTCAATGTGCATAGAGACATACCTGCAGACGCCCAACAACCTCTCCTTGTTGACTAATAATTGGTGTGTGGTAATTAAGAGTGACATCATGAAACAGCACTTCCAAAAATATGTTGGCAACGCCTATTAGGTTATGATTTTCAGAGTACTCATAAAATGGGTCACATGCATCATCCTGGTCCTGTGTGATAAAAGTTGAAGTCAGACATTCCATTATTAACAAATAATAATTTAAAAAAAAACAAAAAAAAAAAAAACAAGATGGTATGAGAATCACAACTTACATGCTCTTTGCCATCTCCGTAGAGATCTCTCATGTCAATCAGCTTGTTCTCAAGCTTATCCATAGACCAGACTTGGCTACCTTTACCTTTACGTTTGACTAAAATAGCAGGTTCACTCACAAATGCTCCCCTCTGCAAAAGAAAGATAACAAAAGCTCGATAGTGAATTTCACATAATATGCATAATATTTCAAAATGCTAAAATAAATACGCACCCTTCGATTAGGACTTAAATTAGCAGGAGGAATTTGTAAAGTGACACTGAATTTTGTTTGACGCCCCATTTCTTCAGATAAGAAATTTGCTTCTTGGCACAGGGCATTGGCTTTGACTATATCTGCTTTCAAATTGCCCAAGCTACGCTTGAACATTTCATCACTAAATGGAGAAAACCAATGAATCAGAAACTAGAAACTGAGTTCCCAATGAATGAGACACAAATAAAAGCTAACATGAATAGTAACAAATTACCTTTCTTGTGCCCATTTCTCTACACGCATTTGAGTGGTTGGTGTGTTTGGAGTAATTTTCCCAACACGAATAGGATCAAATGGCACATAAGGAGAATAAGGCGTGGATGGAGACATGATGTTTCTTAACTGTTGAAATTGTTTCTCATATTCTTGGCGCTGTTTTTCTAATGCAACTGTAAAAACAACAATATAAATTGAATTGGTTGAGGAGGTCCAATTGATTACACTAAAAGGCAACCTAAGATTGCTTACCTTGTTTATCTTCTTCATGCTGACGCTCTAAACGTGCAATGGCAGACTGAATAGGTCCATTATTCAATTCATTTAACATGAGTTCCTCCCTTGCAAAATTGTAATCTATAGGTTGTGCAGGGGTCTGTGGCTCTGAAGAGGTAGCAGCTGAAAAAATGCCATGGTTTTTGTAGCTGTTAGAGCTTTGGCTGATTTTCCCACCCCATTCAGTAACACAAAATACAACAGAAAAATTTTCTTACAGGAAGATTTTGGACAGTTGACTCGGAAGAAATGATGATTTCCCCACAAAATACGATCACCATGATGTAAAGGAGTGCGGTTTACAACTGGCACGCCATTGACAAAACACCGAGCACTGGTTCGAGGTTCCATAATAAGACCACCATCCTCAATGACTATCACACAGTGCTCTGGTTGGATGCCTAAGCCAGATAATTGAATATCTTGCTCTGACTCTGCTCCTTTAGCTCCAACAAGTGTCCTTTCCTATTAATAAAATAACGAGTAATGTGGTGAACAGAATGAAAAGTAAACTAATGAAGCAACCAACAGAGTCTGTTTCTGAAAGTTAAGACAAACCTTTAAATAGTACACAAGTAATTCATTCAATGATGGATCAGCATTCAGGTTTACTAGATAATATTTATTTTTCTCCACTTGAATACCGGAGGCTTGAACACTTATACCCATTTTCTCCAATGCCTGCTGACGTTCTTGCTGAAGTCTCTCTGTAAATTGGAGAGAGATTTTAAGACAGTGGTACACAAAGCACTCCTCAATTTTCTTAGTCAGGAAGGTTTCTAAATCTTACCAGTCTTCTCAAGTTTCTGTTCCCACGTCTGACTCATTTCATGCATCAATTTTTCACTTTCACTAATTTTTTCATGAATGTCCTCTCGTTGCTAGAATTATACAATACATAGATTAAAACAAATGAAATGTGACTATTTATTTCTCTACCTCCATGAGAATAATGTTTGACATGCAGGCAAAGCAAAACAAATACAACACAAAAAAAAAATGTAACAGGGAAAGGTAACCAAAAATGTAAAGAGAAGAGACACAAAAGGAGAAAAGAGTAAACAAATGAAAAAACAAAAACAAAAGAAGCATACCAAGGCTGGAATGGCATGGCCTACCGTGGCATGCTTGAGCATTTCACGTAGAGCTTCGACCTCCTGTCGTAGCTCACGAATAATCCTTGCATTGGGATCTTCATTGACCACGGCATGGTTGACAATTCGCTTGGCTCGGTCAGCATATCTCAATGTTGAGAGTGTCTCCTCATAATTATCTGCTGATGGTGAGATTGTGGCAACCATAACAGTTTTACTATTACCACCAAGATTATCCTGGATGAGATGAATAAATAAACAAGAGTTGAAAAACAGGCATTGGCAAATAGATTACAGATAGAATAAAAACAACACAAACAAAACAAACCTTCAGGAGCCATGTCAAAACTGAATCTCGGTATGGAACAAATTTGTCCCTATTCTTCGATGAAGCAGACTGATCAGCTAATTTTGATATGACAAGACCAAGGGTAGTAAGCGACCTACAATGAAAATAAAAACATTAATTAAATCATATGACATAACCTGTTTGCTATAGAGAGAAAGAACTGGATGCAGAAACTTACTTATTTATATTCGATCCCTCTTTCAAGCGATCTCCTACAGCACCAGTCTTCACAGCTCTTTCGCTTCCGGCCAAATCCACCAAAGAAACTCGGGACACCTTCTCCCCCGACACTCCGCTCTGAGTGTCGGTTAGAGTTTGGGTGACTATGACAGAGAAGACGGCATGCGAGCGGGACGATTCACTGTTCATGTTGGTGGCCGCCACGGTGCGAGACTTGTTGCCCTCCGCCATGAGGGTGTCAATGTCCTGCAAAAGGGAAGGGAAGGCCCGGCGGCCCAGCCACGCATGAACCTCCGAACCACTACGGGGCAGCGCGGCAGCGCCACAACGCCACAACGGACAACCCCCGCATCTTTACCTGGAACGACGTCACGGCGAGCTGCGACAGGCCGTCCACGTAAGGCCCGAGAACGTTGTGCTCCCGCACCTTGAGGGACTGCTTGTTGGCCTTGGGATCCAATAAATCGTGCACCTGCGCCAAAAGAGGAAACAGATGTAGTCCCTGTGGCGCGGTGGCGCGCGCCCTCGCGGCCGGAGAGGGGGAGGGGGTGACAGGGGACGGGCGGGCCGACCCGCGGTGCAGCCGTGCCGCGCGGGCAGCCTACCCTCACGTTCACAGGCGCTGAGCTGAGCCCTGAGCCAACCTGGCCGTGCTGGCCGTGCTGGCGGGGCAGGCGGCAGGCGGCGCACAGCGCGTACTCACCTTCTCGTTGTAGATCTCCATGTAGCTCACTTCCACCTTGTAGGACAGCTCGGCGCTCTGGCGCTTGGCGATCGTGTCGAAGAGCGCGTCGCACAGCCTGGGGATGATGCCCTTGCTGTCGCGGCCGCCCATCATGGTGTAGGACTTGCCCGATCCTGGAGCAGCCGAACACACACAGTGAGAGGCGCTCCCAACGCGACGGCGTCGCTCAACAACAGCAAAAACTCACCAGTCTGGCCGTAGGCGAAGATGCACGCATTGTAGCCCTCGAAGGCGTTCTCCAGGATGTCGCGGCCCAGGCTGTCGAACACCTCCTCCTGGCTGGCGAAGCCGGGCAGCGCCGGGTCCAGGGAGTCGAAGCATGAGTCGAAGGCGAACGTCTTGGGCTGCTTCCTGCGGGACAACAAGACGAGTACGCGTTTAGTGCTATTGCGCATCCCCGGGAAACCTCGCATCGCACTGCACGGACGACGATGACGCGGCCGCCATCCCTTCATCCGTTCGCCGACACCGAGTGTCTAAGGCGATGTCTGAAAGGGCCGAGGCAAGTTTGGTCGCGGTGTGACGCATTCATTGTGCACACTGTGAGCCGAGAGCTCCATCCAGGCCCAGGGCCCAGGGCCCAGGAGAGGTCCCGCCGAGGGGGGGCTCACTGACGAAAATCATTGTACACGCCAAAAAAAATCAAAATTCTAATCAAAAAAAATCATGAAAAATCAAAAAATCAAAAAAAATCAAAATCATTGAAGAAAATCAAAATCAATCGAAACTTTGTAAAAAAAATCAAAAAATGATTTGAAAAAATCAAAAAATCAAAAAAAATCAAAAATAATCACAAAAAAATCAAAAATAATCAGAGGAAATGAAAAGGAATGAGCAACCGATACACAAGACTTCAAAACATAAGCGAGTTCGGTTACAGAATAACTAGCTTAGCGCGACACCTAGCATCATAGATTTCAAATGGTTTGAAATTTCGCGCCAACAACTGCCGTATGTTGGTACGACTGCCGGTAATTTGGGCCTCTGCAGGACATAAAATTAAAAAAAATCAAAAAAAAAATCAAAAAATCAAAATTAAAATCAAAAAATCAAAAAGAATCAAAAAAATAGGCAAAAATCCTTTAAAATAAATTTTTCGGGATAAATCATTGAAAATAAAAAAAAATCAACAAAGTGAAGAAAAATGAAAAAAAATTCCGACAGTCAATGGCCGTCAAATCTTTGTACGTTTGAGACCCCAGTGAGCCCCCCCTCGGGTCCCGCACAAAGTTTGCCGCGCCGAGGCCAAGTCAAGGACGTCGCAGTGTGAAGCCTGAGCTGCCTGAGCCTTGGCTGGCCGGCCCGACCCACAATGCAGCGCCACTGTGCAGCCGGGCCAAGCCTCGGACAAAGCCTCGGACAAAGGCGGAAAAAGGAGTTGAAAGGCTGGGCCCACCCAGCCTTACACACACTTCGAGAGGGCCTGTCGCTGTCTAACTGGTCGCATCATCTGCGGAGAGCGGGTCGAGCCCCTGGAGACGCCCGGCGGGTAGGCCAATGCACGCACACGCGTCGTGCGGGCTGGCCTACCCCGCTGCTCGCAGGCGCTTCCAGGCAGGCGCTCCACGGGCCGGCCGCCGAGGCCATCATACGCGCGACCCCACCTCCACTGCCACCCCTTCCGCCGTGCCGCCGTGCCGCCACCCCCAGAGTGGTGGATCGTAGATCGTGGGTCGGGCCGCAAACTTGGCCGGCCACGTCTCTGTTTCGTTTTCCCGCCACGCCGAGCAGCGCGGGGCAGCGCCTCGCCTCCGAGGCGATAAAGGCTGTGATTGATTGGGAGGGCCATGGCCGAGGCCGAGGCCGACGCCGGGAACAATGCGAGTGCCCCGTGCCCCCCGCATCGGCCGGAGGCGTTCTGAAAGGGGTGCAAGGTGAGAGAGAGGCAGCTCGCTCGCCCCGAACACACAAGGGCGGCGGCGGCAACGATTACAGCAAAGTCGGCTGCTTGTTCACAATCGAGTCGAAGCCCCACGACTGCCGCCAAACGCCCCCACCCCCTGGCCACACCTCGTGCCGCCCCGCCCCGCCCCGCCCCGACGCTGTAAGCTGCATTTTAAAGCGCCCTTGCATCACCGCGATCCAATTACCGCTTCGATCGTCGAGCGCAGCGGCGCAGCGCCTTCCAAAGCAGCGCTCCCGCTTCATCGAGCCCTAAGGGCCCTGGGCCCTCCTTGGCGGCGCTTGGCGCGCTTCAAGGCGACCCGCCGCACGCCGCGCGCGCCCGTCCAGCATCTTCACACGTCCTCTGCTCACTCTACCTCCAATAAATCATTCAGAAAACTCACTCTCTCTCCCTCGCGGGGCATCACGCTGGCGCGCGAGGGGGAGAGGTAGAGACAGCGGTGGCGCCATGGAGGAGCAAAGGGGCGGGGGCAGTCGCCCCTTTCCTTAATTAAACGGCCGAGCAGACGACGCGACGCGCGCCAGCACTGGAATTTTCCGCGCCATGGCCGCTGTCGCTGCCGCCACGCTGCCGCCATGCTGCCGCCATGCTGCCGCTGGAGAGGAAAGGGGGAGGCGACGGAGAAGACGGATCGAGTTGAGCAAGACGCGGCAATAGAGTAGCGGGTCCGACCGTCGGACCGTCGGGGCGGCTGCAGTCTCTTCCCCCTTCCTCTGTCCACGGGACCACGTCGCGTCCCGTCCACGCCACTGCTTCCGACGGCAGCCTTTTGGCCCCTCCGCCCGCGCCGCTGGCCGGAATCGAACCTGGAGCCGACGACGGGGCGAAGCGGGGCGAGGCCCACGGCAAACTTGGGTGCGAGGCTGTCACCCACAAGCGTTCAAAATAAAACCGCCTCACCCGCAGCAGAGGCGAGACGGGAGGACCACACACCGGGATCCGTCCCTCTCCACCTCATCCAGAGCCCGGCGCCTGCAGGCTGATCCCACGAGTTGTCTCTCTCGCACCGATGCGGGCCACCCAATGGGTGCGAGAAAGAGCGACGAAAACGACTCTCGGAATCAGTCTGCACGACGCAGACGTCCCGGGGGACGCAACGCGGGAGCAGCAGGCCTGGCCGCCACGCCACCAACTGGATCAGCCGGTGAAGTTACTTCAGGCCGAAGCGCGCGGCGTGGGGAGGAACGGGCCGCTCCACTGCTAGACAACCAAGTGGATGGCGGACTCGAGCGGAGCCACCCCGCCCGGGGAACTTTGAGAAAGAGGAGGGAGGCGTCGTCCGCGTCGCGTCACGTGCTCGCGGACGCGGCGACGCGCCGGCGACACTGACCGATAACAACGACCACCCCGACCCACTTCCGCATTGATCCTCGCGCACGCGGCGCACGCGGCACGCGCCACTCACCACGCACGCCATTAAAGAAAAATAACCCCCGACCAATTACGGGGCGGCGCGGAAAGCGAGCTCCTGCACTGCACACGCCGTGCACGCCGCCCCTGGCCGCCCCCGCGGAGACGGCGAGGCACCCTTGGCCCGGCCCCAGCAGGCAGACAGGCGGGCCCTTTCCTCGTCTTCCGACTCGCCAGTCACTCGCTAGTCGCTGGGCTTGGCCGCCTCATCGATTCGGGCGCACGTCAAGTCCCTCCAAGCCGTGCCGCGCCGTGCCTAGTGCAGCGGGAGGCGGAACCGCGGAACCGGGCACGGCGGGGCGGAGTGCGGAGCGTGGCGGAACGGCGCTGGGCCTCCTGTTGAGCGGCAGGCTCTGCCTTGGCTCTGCCATGTGGCGTGCGAGTGCGGGCCAGCCAGCCCGCCAGCCAGCCCTAGGTAGGTAGGATTGCGTGCCAAAGTAAACCCCGATAAACCCGACGAGGCCGGCGCGGCCGACGGGGAGGTCTCTGCCGTGCGGATTACCCCCACCCCCTTTTTCCACCACCCCCGCGCCAAACGGGCCTAATTACATCGCGGGTTCGCTTTTATCAGTGCGCTGCCATCGCCGGGGCGCGTACGGCGAACCGCGGCGAACCGCCTCGCAAACGGGACGCGGAACGCCAGCGCCGCGTTCCAGGGAAACGGGGTGGAGAAAGGCAAAGAAAGGCGGCGGCGGCAAAGCGGCGTGCGGCCCTCTGTGGTATTCCCTATCCGCGCCACAAAGGCCGAGAGCGGGGGACGAGGACGCCGTCGACGGCCAGCACCGACCCCGCAGACGGCCGCCACGGCCACACGTCCTCGGCCCCTTCACGGTGACCAAGGTGCGCCACCGCCACCTTCCGCGCCTTCACCTTGGCCTGAGGAAGCGCGCAGCCAGCGCAGCGGGTGGGGTGGACGCATTGACTGGGTCGCCCTGCGCGCCCAGCGGCTTACATTGTCGCGGCCTCCACCACGGAGGGGCGGGGCGGGCAGAGAGGACCAGGAGGACGTCCCGTTCCGTCGCCCCCCCCCCCAACATCTAGCCATACAACGCGGCTAATGTCGTCCCGTGGGGGGTGTCGTGTCGGGGGAACGGGACGGGACGGGGGCTGGGGTTTCCTATGTCGTCAGCTCATCATCAGGTCCAACCCCCGCGGGCACCATGCACACGGACGCGAGGGCTATTGGCTGCGGGCCGTCCGTCCACACACACACACACACACACACACATACACACTCACATCGCGTGCCACTTCCAGGCCACGCCTTGACAACAAAAGGTAAAAATTCTCCGCGCGCCTCGCCGACGCGCGTATTCGAACCCACGTCGCGTGCGCGCCGCAAAGTTAATCCGCCAAATTGAAACAAAGGGCGACCGCACTGGCGGGACAATTTGGGCAGTGGCGGTGGGGAGGGGGAGGAGGGTGGGCGCGCACCGCCACACAGCGCACGCCGATCGGACGGCCGCGGTGGGCCAAAGTGGCCTTGGCGTCGCCCCGCCCCGCCCCGCCCCGCCGCGGACCGCCTTATCTCTAATGGACGGCGACAGCGCCGTGTTTGGATGACAGATAAGGCCCCCGCCAGGCAGGCTGCAGGGCGTGGCGCGGCGCATCACAACAAGAGCAGCTCGCGGGGCACGCGGAGCAACGCCCCGACGGAGCCTGCGCCTCGCGCCTCGCACTTACAGTGGGGGCCTCGAGGCCTCTCCCTCTGTCGCACTCGCGGGGCGTCCCGTGTGTGTGCGAGAGAGGCAGCGCGACGAAAGCACCGTTCGGAATCAAGCGGGCAGGCCTTGGCCGGCCGAGAGATGACCCACCCCGCAGGATTCATGGGGCCGCGGGCCGCGAGCTGGGCCTGGCGGCCTGGCAAGGCTCAAGGCCCGCCCCCGCCACCCCCGGAGCAGGGCCGGGGCCGAGGCCGAGCGGCCCCGACGCACTGCCTGGCGTTGGCGCGCGGTTGGCGGAGAGGCACCCACTTCCGGTCCACGACGGCGCCGTGATGACCGCCGCGAATCAAAACCTCGGCCTTGGCGCCGTG